CCCATTGTATCCCCAACCCCGCAGCACAAGCTTGAGGCTCAAACTTTGTTTAAATGCGTGAATGGAGAAGCCCTAGGCTTGCAGTTTGTCATCACCGCACCCCCCCCCCCCCATCCCTGGCTGTACCAACCTGGAAGTGTGGGAATGATGGGATGAGCAGGGCAGGAGCTGGGGAGTTGTTTTGCATGAGCTCTGTTGCACAGATGAGAAACTGAGCCCAGAGCCAGAGAGAAGGCTGCCCCGAGGTCACACAGCAAGTCAGTGGCCAGGGTCCGACCCAGTCCAGGGCTCCTCACTCAGCACTGAGACTGCCCCACTCCCAGCCACATAGGACTCAGTTCAAGAGCAGGACCCACTCTGCTTCTTGGGGGGAAGCCCCTCTCTGTCTTCTGGCTCGTGCACTACCTCAGCCAGAGGCTTCATCTACAGGTGCGTCCCGCCCCCCAGCAGCAGCCTGGACCCTGGTGCACAGACAGCCGCCCACCCCGGGGGGATCCTGATTTGGGCACTCACAGGAGCCTCCCACTGCGGACACACTGTGTCCTGGGCCCTGAGTCTTTTAAAATGAGGGTCCTTAGAGCCAGCACTCAGGTTCTGAGACCAGGACCCTCCAAACTGCCAGGACCTCAGGCCTCTGAGCCTATCTTCCACTCAGACAGGTTAAGGTCATATCTAAGGTCACACACAGCTTGTCAGTGCCAGACCCAGGGTCAGAATTGGGTGTTCTTTCCTAGGGACCCCACTTTCTCCCCATATGGGTAACTGGATGAAGTGGGCTGAAATGAGCTCTCTGGGAAGCTAGGAAGCGATTTGTCCCTGGAATGTTCAAGAAGATGGACATCCCAACCAGAGTCCTCCTGTAACTGGCATGGGAGATTTTGGTGCAAGGTGGTTCTAGCTGAGAGCTGTGCTCAATGGGCTTTGGTGTCTGGGCCACAGAAGAAGGTCTTTGCTCTGGGGAATGTATGGCTTGGCTGGGCCCATGGGGCATATATCCTGGCCCCCTGGGCACCACCACGAAAAGGCTTTTAGGGAAACGTGCTGGGAGCCATTTCCATGTATCTGTGTTTGTAATCGTTGCCTGTGCCTAATAGCTCAGCTCCCCAGAGTTGTATGGGGGATGTACGTGCAGAGGGCTTTGGGGATGAGCTGAAGGTCCAGATCCCTGAGGTCAGATCCTACAGGGAGTGATGGACACAGCCAAGGCCAAGGCCCGGCCTAGGGACCCTGGGGATCATGGCACCCTGGGATGCTTCCCCCGAGTGGCCACTAGATGGCGCCCAACGGCCAGCTCTCACCTGGGCCCCAGAAGCGGGGCCTGGAGGGTGTTGCTGGGCTTGCCTGTGATGGACAGGATGGTCCAGGACAAGGTATTTCAGACTCGTTAACTGAAACCATACATGGGGACCTATATTCCAGGGACAAGTAGCTGAGAAAAGTTGGGGGTGGAGGGAAGGGAGCAGGAACCTGTCCATCTGCTGAGATGGGATTGTGACCCACAAGAAACAGATACGCACATACGTGAACACGTGTGTATGCACACACACACACACACACACGCACGCACCGTGCTATCCACGTGCAAAGGCAGAGCAGTTGGTAGGGACTGGTTCGTCCAATTGTCTCAGTCAAGAGACATCTTTTGAGCACTTCCTCAGGGCTGAGTTTGGTTGTTGGGTCCCGTGGGATGCAGGGATGGGCAAGCCACCATAGAACAGCCCACAGAAGCCAGCTACTCCTCCAAGCAGAATGTGGGTGTCCGAAAAGGTAGAGTCACAGATCGGAGGGTGAGGAGGGAGGGACGTTTAAAGATACCTCCTATTCATGGAGTGTTTTAGAGTTTCTAGAATCAGCTACAAGTAGGCAGAGCACTTGCTTTCCTGTTTCACTTTATAGCTTATATGAGTCAGGGAAGGCTGCACATAAAGAGCCTGGAGAAAGCCCATCTCGGGTCCTACGGGCTACACTGACCCCCAGCTGCTCTGACCGTGGCTGGCACCCCGGGGTGGAGGGCCAAGACTTTGATGGGCCGGGATTTCCCCAAACATGATGCATGTAGCCCCACCTCCTAGTGTGGGGCCTGGGCTCTGCAGACCAGGTCACTGAGTCACTGTCTGTGGCCCCCAGAATGAATGCTTTTGACTTTTAGGTGGTTCTTAGTTCCCGGAGACAACTGATCAAAAATCATCTATCGCCAAACTCAGTCATCAGGCGTGGTATTAATAACATAAAACTCTCCCATTCTTATTTAAATGTTTTTGTCAAGACATTTCTGAGCAGCTGAGCTAGAAATAGAGCACCCCAGAATGCCAAACCCGGCAGGGATCTGAGGGGCCTTCCAGTGCAGTCTTCTCATTTGGCAGGTGAGGCCTGGGGACTTGAGGCTGGACTCTCAGGGAGGCCCCTGTGGATATTCCAGATTACCCCCAGGAGCCGTAAAGAAACGTGGAGCCACGTAGCAACAGGGATGGCACAGGTCCCCAGAGGACGGAGGCCTGTGAGATGCCCCTGCGCCCACAGCCCCTGGTGAGCACCTCCACCCCAGCCCCCAGCCAGGCCGAGACAGACCTGGAACAGGAAGTGCTCAGAACCTTTCCTGATGTTGCCATGGTGCCCACAATCCAGAGGCCAAGGGCAAGCTCCCCCGCCAAAACACCTTGGTCCCGAAGGAGAAAAGGGTGAGCCCCAGATGACATGAGCAGGATTCAAAGTCAGAACGTGAACAGCCTGTCGTGATCCTGTACCTCAGAGACCTATACAACCAGAGTGCCTCTGTTCTAGAAGCTTCTCCTATAAACGTACATGTGGTGGCGAGGGGACTTCAGGGCAGTAAGTGTGGCTGGTGCTCTTCACCCACTTTAGAGCCAGAGGAGGATCCCTAGGGACCTGCCTGGGTAGAGAGAGGCTTCAGGGGCTCCAGGCTGGGAGGCACGTGGAGGCAGGTAGCAAATTCTACGACCAACCTACTTACAGACCTCCTTCGGTTCCCATGCCTTGGGAAAGAGGCCAAGAATTGTGGGTTATGGCCCATCTGGCTTTTTCTGAACCACTTTCCTAGCACAAGAGCAGAGAATTGTCAGTCCCCTGATGGGCTTTAAAAAGTCATAGATTCTCTCGATTCAATGAATAACCCACCCTTGGAAGTTGACTCATTATTACTTTTATGGCAAAATACAGAATCTTCAGGCCAATCTCCTGTTTTGAAGAGCCCTCCTGGAAAGTCTTTGAGACTGTACACCTTACCTCTTCTGTCTTCCAGGTGTTTCTCACCCCCCTCCCCTGTATGTAATCACCACCACGGTTTGTGAAAATGCTGCATCCGGTAAGTAGAGCAATTTCGTCAGGCAGAAGGCAGTGGTGAAGAGCAGAAGCACCTGCTTACAGCTCTGTCACCTCATTTCCGCAAGGGGATGGGTCGGGCATCACTCAGGACCCCCATCTTTTTTGGGTGACCCTTCTGTCAGAGCAGCCCTGCTGTCAGAGCCGACCCTATTCACAGGGCTGCAGCTAGATTCACAATCTGCAGTGTCGATCGCCCGCATATTCCAGGCCCTAGAGCGTAGTTCCCAGACTTCATCTTATCATTTTAACATCCTCACCATCGCTATCGCCATCATCATATGATGATCGAAAGGCTCAAAAGGTTAAGTGACTCGCTCAAGGCCATACAACCCGTTAGTGGCGATAACAAGATTTGACTTCAATTCCCTGTGCCTGGCCCCTGAGCTCCCCACCACCCTGCCGGTGACTGGCATCACTTCGGAACAACTGCACCCATTCCTATGGGTCCCCCATGGTACTTTCCCCGGTTAGCTTTCCTGAGCCACCACATCTGAGGCTTACATCCATGCTGACTATCCTGCTGAAGGCCCAGGGCCTCAAGCAGATACCTAAGTAAAAGGCCCTGCCCGGTGGCCCCGCTGTCCATTCCTGGGTATAGACCCAAAAGAATTGAAAACGCGTGTTCAAACCAAAACTTGCACACAAACGTTCGTAGCAGCATTTTTCACAATCACCGAAAGGTGGAAAGGGCACAAGTGGCCATCAACTGACACATGGATAAAGAAAACGTGGTCTCTCCACACAGTGGAATATTATTCGGCAATAAGAGGGAATGAAGTTCTGACACCTGCTACTGCAGGGATGAGCGTGGGAAACTTTATGCCAAGTGAAAGAAGCCAAGCCTAAAAGCCCACGTACTGTATGAGTCCATTTATATAAACATCCAGAATAGCAAATCCATAGAAGCAGAAAGCAGATTGCTGGTTGCCAGGGGCTGGGGGAGGGGAATTAGGAGTGGTGGCTTAAGGAGTCTAAGGATTCCTTTGGGGGGAATGAAAATGCCCTGAACTGGACGGTGGTGATAGCTCTGCAACTTCATAAAAGTACCAAATGCCACTAAATCGTATGCGATAAAGTGGTGAATGTCATGTTTTGTGTGTTTTACCACAATAAAAGGGGAAAACAGATCCCTACCTAGGATCTCCTCAGTTTGGTATCTCCGTGAATCCCAAGTGAGGATAAGCATGTGAAGAAGAGACCCTTGAAATATCATCTTGGCCCCACTCGTGGGGTCTTCAGAACCACCTGCAAAGAAACCATCTTTCTCCCTGACCTTTTACCTCTGGTACCTTCTGTCCCAGATCCTAAGTTCCAAATTTCCTTGAACCCCTCTGTCTACTGAATATGATATTTGCCTTGAGAAGATGGTTCCTGAGAATTACTGGCCATGTTTGAAAATCAACCAGTATTTTATTTAATTTTTTCTTAAATATTTTATTTACTTATTCCTAAGAGACACAGAGAGGCAGAGACATAGGCAGAGGGAGAAGCAGGCTCCATGCAGGGAGCCCGATGCGGGACTCGATCCTAGGACCCCGGGATCACACCCTGAGCCAAAGGCTCAACCACTGAGCCCCCCAGGCGCCCCCAATCAGTGTTTTAAAATGTATCTTGATTTCCTTTCTCTTGTACACTTTGGAAAACCTGGCCTTTGGACGATGTTAAGAAAGGATTCTCTCCCTTCCTTGCTTCCCAAGTGGTACAGAGGTCGGCTGGAACGCCGGATGGTTGGCTCGACCAACCGGTGGCGTTTCCCCAGGGAGCCTTTCTCCGGGGACCTGCTGGGACTCTCCCAGATGTGCAAGGCTCTGAATGTGGATTTTGAAGAAGTTCTGAAGGACCCAGACAGGTAGGAAGGTCCAAGGCCTATGGCCTGGGATGCGCTTCGGTGGAACCACATTTCTGGGTAGTGTCCCATGGTGGGGCCGCTCTACCTGGGCAGATGGGTTGCTCTGGGCCTCCATCGGGACCACCTTCAGGGATGGACAGCCTTGGTGTGACCACTTCCCCTAAGGATGTCTGTGCATGTGATAAAAGTATAGACAGAGACTGGCCTTTTTTTTTTTTTTAAGATTTTATCCATTTATTCATGAGAGTCATAGAGAGAGAGGCAGAGACACAGGCAGAGGGAGAAGCAGACTCCCTGCAAGGAGCCTGATGTGGGACTTGATCCCAGAACTCCTGGGTCACATCCTAAGCCGAAGGCAGGCGCTCAACCACTGAGCCACCCAGGTGCCACGTCCTTTTTTTTTTTTTTTTCCTAGATTTTTCCTTTATATTGGGAACTTTGGCCCTAACAGGATTCTGTTATATTTATCAACTGATTTATTGATGAAGAAAACTTAGAGTCCTGGCTTAGAGTCCGACCCTATCTCATAAATTCATATTTCCACGCCAGTCACTTGGCTCCCCATGTGTGAGAAGCTGGTTCCCCCCTCATCCCCAAGGAACTCTAACAGCAGGCTTAGAGCAGCACTTCTCCATGTGGCAAGTGCTTTCTGGCCTCTCCTGGGACGCAGAGCTGGACCCTATCGCAGGAGGTGCCACAGCCCTCCCTGGCCTGGCAATACCGGCCCTGTGGGCATAGGATCGAGTCTAGCTGAGCACAACCTGTGCCCCTGGACGGTGCTCAGCACCAAAGAGCTCCTTGCTCCCTGTTTGCTGGGCCAGTAGCCGAATCTTTCCCGTCTAGACCCCCTGGCCAGCCCTGCTCCAACACCCTGCCCCCTCACAGGTGACTCTGTTACACACATTGAGATAAATCACATCCATCTGGGTTTGCTGCCTCAATTCTCTGATGCTTGCAGGGGAGAAAAATTGAGTGCTGTGAGTTGCTGTTTTGGGCATAAGCCTTCAACTCTCTTGAATGGATTTTATATTTATTTTATATTTTGTTTGGTTAGGACCTTGAAGAAGTCTTAGGGTTAAAACTCGCTGGGCCAGGGCCACGCTGGGGATGCGGGCCCTCAAGCGGGGCCTGGGAATAGAAGCCAACTGACCCGGAAAGCTGACGAGGGTGGCTGGGCAGGGGCGGCAGAAGTCTCCAGGACTCGGTCTGTGTGATCCCTGAGCGAGGCCGGGGGTGGTGGCCTGAGAGCAGGGCACAGAAACCTGAGGGATGCTGGCAGTTGTTCTGGGTTTCAGGTTCAAGCCAGTGGCTAAACCTCTCTGAGCCTCAGTTTCCTTACCTGTGAAATGATGATAACAGCATCTTTCTTGAAAAGTCATCTTGAGGATTAAATCAGTACCTTGAAAATGCTTAGCACTGAGTCTAGCAGACAGTAGAGGATCTTTCAGTGGAGCTTCTATTAGCCTGAGCAACAGTTCAGCTGTCGGTGCCGGTGATTTCATTTTGGGGAGTACCAGGCCTGTGCTCTGCCAGCTGACAACCCCATTTTACACTCTGCCTTTTACCACCTTCCCCCAAATTGTCAAGGCACATTGCCTGCAACACAGCAGTGACACAGCGTGCCTCTGTCCTCGGGGATGCTAGGAAGCTGCCCAGAGGCCAGCGGGGGCAAGGAGGCACTGTGGGGAGGCTGATCCCTCGTGTACGTGGCGGCCAGCGGATCGAGGCTCAGCTCAGCCGGGCAGTGGGGCTCTTCTCCATGAGCTCTCATCCTCCTCCTGAGACAGTGGACCTACTCGGGCATGTTCTGGTGGGTGCTGGGGATGGCAGGGACACGAGGCAAGCCCAGGTGCACAAGTGCTTTCCAAACCTTCAGCCACACCACATCCACCGACATCAAGGCAAGCCACATGGCCAAAGCCAAGGGCCAGGAAATCAAACTGGCGTTTTGCGAGTATTAAACCAAAAGCCCTTTGGATGGTTTGCTGCAGGAAGGCCTTACGTCCATAAGACACATAGAGAATTTCTCCCACTTCCCTCTTTTCTCTCCACGATGGGTCATGACTAGGGGGACCGAGTCCCCAGCCTAATAGCGTGCTCCTAGTATTCTCACGTGCCACTTTAGCCCAGGCTGTCTAGTCCCAAAGAGTGAAGAGGACAGCTCACAGATGCCATCTATTCCCTTAACTTTTCCAGTGGTCCTAAAATAAACCAAGCCCTTGTAATCTGCAGAGCCCACACGATAGGTGGTATATCTTGGCAAGGACCCATGACACCAGGAGAAGGCAATGTGGTCACTTCTGTTGTCTGGCTCAGCCGATGACAGTGATGTTTGTGAGGGTAGTGAGCTCATAGGCATTGCCCATAGTTTCCAAAGTCCATTACTCCATTTTGAGATCACAGTCTGAACCCCTGACCTTGGCCAGCTTTTCCCAGACGTGTGAACCAAGCCACCAGAAGGATTGAGGCTAGCTTGGGTCAGATCCACTACCGTTGGATAAATACCTCAAGCTCTCACTGCCTTCCTGGGGCTGAGTCACTAGTAGCCACTATCCCTACTTGGAAAGGGCAGCATGTGGTTAATGTTATTCTGGACATAGGTGCCCCCACCCAAGCCCCCCTCTCTGAACCCTGGTCATGAGGGTTCTTGGAACCATTGGAAAACAGCATGGCAAAAGTGACACCGACCAGATGTGGTCATCAAGTGGCCTTTGGCTAGTTGACTTTCTTGGGATGACTGTCTTCAAGCTGTGAATATGTGACTCAAATTTTTTTCACATCCTCGCTCAACAGGATGAATGTAGTTAGTTCACAAAAAGATACCTTATCTTTGTCATCCGCCAATCATTGAATGGGTATTTATTGAGCACTTGCATGGTGGCCATGCTAGGGTTCCAGCAGCAAATAAATGCTGAATCTGTCTTTGTGGAATGTAGAGCTTAGAGCGGAGGCAATCACAAGACACTATAGAGGAATTCTTTTTTTTTTTTTTTAAGATTTAATTTATCCATGAGAGACACACACACAGAGAGGCAAAGACACAGGCAGAGGGAGAAGCAGGCTCCCTGTGGGGAGCCCTGTGCAGGATTCAATCCCAGGACCTTGGGATCATGCCCTGAGGCAAAGGCAGACGCTCAACCGCTGAGCCACCCAGGTGTCCTGATATAGCAGGAGTTCTGAGGGGGGCAATTCCAGGGCGGTGAGCAGAAGGACCACCTGCTCAATCTCCCCAGTGGAAGGAACAGCTAAGCTGACCTAGGAGGATGAGGAGGAGCTCATCAAGTGAAGAGGTCAGGAGGAGAGCATTTGGGGCCCAGGATGCTGCATGGCCAAGAGACTGGAAGCAAGAGACGGTGGGTTCAGGAGGTTAAGAAGGGCCGGAGGAGGGAGTGTAGAGCTGAGCCATGCTGAGGAGTGGGGGCTTCCCTCAAGAGCACTGGGGAGACACTGAAGGATTCTCAGCAGGAGAGACGCAAGAGCAGATGTGTGTTTTACGTGGTTCTCAGGCTGCAGCATCCCATGTGCATCTGAGGGGAGCTCCCCGGAGACTGGAGGAGATAATGATGGGTTGGATGAAGCTCGCAGCAGTAAAGGAGACCTGATATTTGTCAGATCTTGGCACTTGATCAGATGTGACAATAGTCAGTGTGCTGGCCTGGGCAACTGCAGGCTGGTGGGGCCATTTGCTGGAGAAAGAGCAGGGTTGGTTTGGGATAAAATCTGAGTTTCGCTCTTGGAGACATTGAGAATGGGGCATGCATGACCCCAACACAGAAGTACTCATGAGTAACTTCCCAGAAATGCCCAGAATCTTCTCTTCCTTTCTCCAGCAGGTGTTTATGGAGTATCTACTATATGCTAGACATTGTTTTAGACATTCACGAGAGAGGAGTCATTCAGGAAACCTGATATAACCCCCAATACCTTCTTGGTAAAGCCTACCCACAAACCAAAAACAGGAATCGATGTTTTGAGCCAGCCACCAGACAGAGCCTATCATTAGTCACATCAGCAGACAAATGGTGACCCAAGGAAACTCCCAAGGGGCAAGATGTGATGAGATAGATTAATGGATGCTTCAGGGACACTTACACTGGAATAACACATGTTGCAGTTGAGAAAAGGTCATTATTAACTCCTGAATTTTTTGTTTGTATTTTCCCTTGAGGTTATATGTTTCACAAATCCAGAAAATTTTCTCCAGGAACTTGAAGAACAAGACCATCCAGAGTAGGGAAGCAGGTGAGTGCTTGGCACTAGTGGATTCAATCAAATGCCTCTGCACTCAGGGCCAGCTGTGGTTTCCGCAGAAGGAAACCAGACGCTAGGCCCGGTCACAGGCCCATAAATTCCAGCCTCTGTCCACTGCACATCATCTAACATCAGATAGGCGCTGTGAATATGTCAGATGCACCATGAAATGATGCGTGAAACCAGGCTTGGCAAACACATTTTCGTATGCTAACTGGTCATAGTAAAGATAGATATGCTGATGTGAATAAATAGGGTTTGGGTCAGAAGACTAAACGGAAGCCCTGTCAGCATGGGCAGCTGTTCTCTGTCCATTTTCACTCTAACCAGTCATGAGTTGGACATCACATCTGCACTCGCCCAAGAGGACTTTTCTGGTGTAGAATGAGGAACCAGATGAGGTCTGTCCAACTGGGGAAGGGTGCATTGAACCTCACCAGGCCTAGGCAGGTCAGCTCCTTAAAGGAGATTTTTTTTTCTCAGATTTATTTATTCATTTTAGCGAGGGAGAGGGGAGGGGCTGAGGGAGAGGGAGAGAGAATCCTCAAGCAGACTCCCCCGCTGAGCACAAAGCCCGACATGGGGCTCGATCTCATGAGCCTGGGACCATGACCTGAGCTGTACCGAGAGCTGCTCAACTGACTGAGCCACTCAGGTGCCCCCTTAAAGGAGATTTTTTTCTTAGATCAGCTGCCTGAGGTCTGAGCACCCTCCTTCCACAGGAGACCCTACTGGATTTCTTCTCACCTGTGGGCTCTGATTGACTGGAGGCCCTGGGTGGTCTGAGGCCATCTCCTGGCTCGGGAAAAAGACTTCTGGGGCTGGTGTGCTGTCTGCCATGCGTGTGCCACCGTGAAAGCAGATGTGGGTATTCAGTGAGGGGACACGCTTTATCCACAAATCTGCTCCTGCCTAAAATCACCCTAACAGGGTGGGATTCTTTCTAGCCCAGCACAACCAGGCCATCCCATGAGGTGACCCGAGATTTGAGATGTGAGCCCACATTCTGAACCACAGCCCGAAACAGTATCGTGCAGTTGGTGGATGACAGTGTCAATAACAGGAGAGGAAACAGGTGCCCAAGCTCACGCAGTCAAAATAATGGCAAGGCCATTAAGAAGTCGGTGGGACTCGTGGCTCTCAAGGTCCTATCCAGCGCTGAGGTTAAGGGTTTGGGAGGATGGCCGAGCATCGCCCCCTCCCCCCAGGTCTGCACTAACAGGAGTCCAGCCTGCAGAGGCCCCCTGCTCATAGCTTCTCACGCCTCACCTGGCCAGGTATCCTTAGATCCTCCATCTGCCCTCCTGTCAAAGGCTCTCTCTTTTTAATCATCCATGCTATCCAAGGATGAGATAAAGCCCCTTGTATAAAGCCCCTTAGTTTGCAAAAAGCCTCCTTTATTTTGTAATCTTGTTCACACCTATTCCCTGGGTTCTCTGGGGATCCCCATTCCCTCGAGGAAAGTGAGGCTCACAATGACTGCCTCCCAGTGACCAGTCTTTGAGCTGCACTTTGCTGTCACCTTTCAGGTGGCCCATAACTAAGCACCAATGCCCAGTAGCTTCAACAGGGGACTGGGCAGCGAGAGCCCTTCCCAGGGGAGATTTGGCAACATCTGGAGACATTGGGGGGTCATCACAACTTAGTGGGGAGGGTGCTACTGGCCTCCGTGGATAGAGGTCCGGGATGTCGATGAGTAACCTACAAGGCACAGGACAGCCCCACCACAGAGAATTATCTGGCCCCAAATACGAACAGGGCCAAGGGTGAGAAATGCTGTAAAAGGAAGGCATGGTGAGGCCCCCAAGAGTGACCCACCCAGTGTCCTTCTGCATGAAGCCTTTCCAGTCTGCCACCTGGAGGGCCACTCATGTGCCTCTGCAGTCCTATGGTAATGGGTCAGCTGCTCGTGGATACTTACCTCTGTCTGTCTGTAAGTCTGCTTACCGTAACCCCCTGGGATCCAGTCAGTGCCCCAAGGCCCACACTGTCTGCATTGCTTCGCTCCTGGCCGGCCCAGCGAAGCCACCTGCCCACCTGCTCTGAGACTGTGTTGGAATGGCAGGTGGGAGGAGCTGATGCATCTCCTGGAAGAGGGCCGTGAAGCCTCTTAACTCATCACCACATTCTCTCCTCAGACGTGATTCTCAAATGTTTGGGCTCCACGTGGGAACTCCACCAGCCCCATCTTTTCCAGTCTGAGACCTTGGCCAAGCTCTACCTGATGGCACTGTCGCAGGGCACCACGAGCCCCACAAAGGAACTGGAGAGGCTTCGGCAAGGTATTTTCTTCCTGGCACCCAGCATGGAGCCCCAAATGCCCTCTGGTCTGAGGGTCCCCAGCTTGGCATTTGGTCATCTGTTTGGAGATCAAGGTCACTCAAGGCCTATGGTGTGACCTCATCACAGGATCCAACCTCAGTCTCTAGCTCTAATGTGGGAATTATATTTCTCACTATGTTGTTTGATGCCTAGAGGAGGTAAATAGCTGTGAAGTTCTAGAACAATGACTTGCACAAATTGGGCACTCGGTAAATGTCATTTATTTTTCTCATAACAACCCAATCCTGCCCAGCCATCTGAGATGGAGACTCTACCTACTTCTTTGAGAAGACTGAATGGTTGTGTTGGGTCTTCTGATGGGCTTTCTGGAAGGAAGGCATAGCTCTGCTGTCTAGCCCAGGACGCCAGTTAGAGGTTTACATGTATACGTCAATGTTATGTTTCCTTTCCTCTCTCTTTTCTTAACTTCACATTATTCCATAACGTATTTGGGCCACTTCTTTCTTGCCTTTTCTCCTTTTCCAACTCTGGTAATCCCCAGGCTCCACTCTCTGTCCCTCTCCTGATGCATTGCCTTCTTTGGGCAATACAGGTTGGCGTCGTTTCAGGATGACTCCTAAGCAGGTACCGTGGAAAATGCAAGGTCTCCAAAACCAACCAGCATGCTAGGCTGGATGGGACTGCATTTCCAGGATGTGGCAGCAAAGCTCTGTTATTTCAGAGCCAGACGGGCTGGCCAGGCCCCCAGCTGCTGCCCCCACCGAGCCTGGAGAGAGGGCCCGGCTGCCAGCCGGAATCAGCCCGGCCACAAGGCCTCTGACTCAGCCCTTCCCCGCTGCGCCGGGAGCTGAGGGCAGGCTGCGGCAGCCCCCCAGCCTGGGATGACCCTCATGCTCACTCAGTAGTCTTCTTTGCTTCTTCCAAGCCTTTGTCCCAGTGTCTTTGAGCATGGGCTCCTCCCTCTGTGTCCCGTGTGCCCAGGTCAGAACACTCACCACGCACCCGAGGAAAGGCCATGGAGATCCAGACAAGATTGCATTGGAAAGCAAGAGAATTTGGAAAGAGAAAATGCAGTTACTGTTAATGCTTGGGTCTATGATATTCTAGAATGGTCTCACTGATGAGTTTGGGTCCTGCTGAGACAAGAGCCTTGATCCAAGCCCCCTGCTGGAGGCTGGGCCTGACTGGGGTTATGGTGGGGGTGGTGTGTGGAGACATCAGGGTAGGTACAGAGATGAGACCCCCTCCTGCCCAGACTGTTACAACTTTCCAGGATCTGTCCCCAGGCCCCAGCAACTAAGCCCGGTCCTGGGGATCATGTGCCTGTCATGTGCAGTGGACATGACTACTAGTTTTTATGCACTTGTGGATGCAGGAAGTACCTCACAGTGACATTTGGATAGTCTGGCGACCACTGCTTTGTGTCCCTGAGAGCACCTGCACTGCAGTCCTGGGTGGCGGGTGCTGTGCGGAGTCAGCCCCCTGCGAGCATCACACCACTGTCCCAGCTGCTCTCCCACCGAGAGTCCAGGATGAGCTATACTTTATCAGGACCCATTCGTTCTCTACGAGGAACCCCCAAAAGGAAATGGTACCCCTCCACTTACTCTGGCCTAGCGGATAATATTCCCTTCTTCCCTCAACATATATCGGGTGCTTAACTTATCCTACGCATTGTGCTAGGAACTCAGTGTTGGGGGGTTGGGGGGCCAACCCAAGATGATGATAAAGCACAAGGAACAGCATGACCCGTCATGATATGAAGTACCACCACCCGAGGGTGTCTGTGCCCCCAGCGCACGTGAGCGGGAGAGTGCTGCGCGCAGGCGGAAGGCAGTCCTAAAAGCCCAGAGGAAAATGAGTCAGAGCAGAGAACAAGGCCTGGCACTCAGTAGGCGCTCAATAAATATTTGCTAACTACGAGCCTGAACAGAGCCAGGTGCCGTGAGCGTGGTGAGGAAGCACCTTGAATGGATCTTTGTTCTCCCCTTTTCTCTGGGTCTCCGTGGCTCGCACTCTGACATCCTTTATTGGATCCTGACCCGTGCCATTTTTAGTACCTGGAACCTTGAGTTCGCTAGGCTTGGAATTCTGTTAGAGTCCCCTCATTCCGTTGATTTAGCAGATATTTACTGTGGACAAGACCGTGTCGATCTTGGAGATGGAGCTGTGAGGAAGCCGTCGGTGTGCCTGCCCCGCAGATACATGATGTGGTAGCAGGTGGTGGTAGTAGTGAGTCTAGGAGGAAGAATAAAGCCAGTTTGGGGGAAGGTAGGGGTGGGGTGCAACCTAACCCACAGAGTCATGTGGGTCCCTGATGGGGGAGGGATGGAGTCCTGCAACTCTTCTGCCAAACCAGCCACAAGGAGGCAGTTTTGGGGTCCAGTGAGCCAGAGCCTAGAGTTCTTGGGGTCATTGGAGGGGTTTTGTCTTTGTGCCAAGGCCTTGGGATGCCACTGGAGACCTGAGAGCAGAAGGTGTTGTAACTCACATTTCAGAATAAGTCTGAGTGGTTGCAAGAGGCTGGCGGTGAGTCAGGCTGCCCCTTCCTGGCCTCCTGGGATTCTTTGGTGGCAGGGGGGTCCTTTGCTTGGACATCTTTGGGCAAAGTTTCCACAGCCACTGGGTGGACACCTTCGTCCCCTGCTCACTGTGGTCCCATCTCATGCCAGGTCTGGGCTGGGTACTGGGCGTACAGAGATAACAGAGGCCCACCCCTTGCCCTCAAACTGCTTGCAGTCTGCAGGGGGAGAGGGAGGAGGCAGGGAGAGAGAGTGGGGCAGGGCCCAGTGAAAAATATCTCAGGCAGCGAGAGCATCTGTTTCCCAGTTTCGGGGTCTCAGTAGCTGTGTAAGTTTAGTGGGGAAGGTGGTCAAGGAGTGCATGGGAACTTTGAACTGTTTTTGCGACTTCTTATGAGTCTTCAGCTATTTCTGAACAATCATTTCAAAACTGCATCCCCTAAACAAGCAGAAACAAAACACAGTGTGGTGAATGCCAAGGTCAAGGTTGTGCAAAGGGCCATGGGCCCCCATACTGTATCCTATGCAAGTCACTGCCACTCTCGGGTCCTGACGTCCCCATTCTGCTTCCTTTGCCAGCTCAGCTGTGTGGGAGTGTCCAGGAAAGACCCCCCATAAAGAAGATGATCATTTCCTTGAAGATCAATGACCCCCTGGTCACTAAAGTTGGTAACGTGCACGTGTCTTTTTATGCCAAGGATGCCGTTGAACCGGGGCCCCTCCCAGATTTAAAAGCAACACTAGAGCAAGCAAGCAGACCATGGTGTTAAGGCCTTCCTTATGAGAAACAGCTGAGCGGAGCAGAGAAGCTGCTAGAGAGACGCTCATCCCTGGGAGGGGGCTTGGGGGATGCTGGGGAAGAAGGAGGCAGCAGGCATTGGGTCAGAGAGACCCAGTGACCGGGAAGCCCTCGGGGCCGCCCTCCCCGGCAGCACTGGGCACACCCCCTCCCTCTCCGGGGGGCTCCAGCCGCAGAGGGCTCACCTTGCCCCACCCCAGCCTGGCCACCTGGAAACAGGGACGGACCTCTGACTTAGTGCGGCGCGTGTGCTGCCACATGCTGTCATGGTCTGCGAATGTGCCCCGGCGGGTTGTCCCCGGCAGCCTTGGCCGTGCTGCGGGGCTCACGGGGCTCAGGAAGGCCAGCTTGGGTTCGGCCCGGTCCCTCTGCTCCCGGGTCACGGGAGCTCAGTTCTCAGCCCGGGTCCTTAACCTTTTTGAAGCCCCCAGACCCTGGGGAAAATCGGCCGTGAGCTAAACGTCATGTCCAGAGAAGAAAGCACCCGTACACGCGCCCGGCTTGTGTGCGATGTGCGCAGACCCTCGCGGCGGGCCGCGGGGCCCCGAGGCGCAGGCTGCAGGATGGGCTTAGAGCAGCGTTCTTCCAGCAGGAGCTGCCTTTTCTTTGGCTCCATCCTCAACTCCAAGGGGAGGCTGGGAGCCCGGGCTGCGTGTGCGCCCAGGTCGGAGCAGGTGCATTTCCTCTAAGGGCGACCCTGCCCGCCCGGCGAGGGGACGCTCAGCATCCAGCAGGGAGGCGCCCACGAGGGAGGGCCGCAGGGCCCAGGGCCCCGAGCTGACGGCTTTCTCGCTTGGCCGCTGCCCCCCAGCCTTCGCCACAGCCCTGAAGAGCCTCTCTCTGAGCGAGGTGGAGATGAACATGGATGATGTGCTGGGCGTGCTGGCTTCCGCACACATTCTCCAGTTCAGCAGCCTGTTTCAAAGGTCAGGAGGCGCGACAAGGCGTGGGCCAGGGCCAGACCCGGGCTGGGTGGAGGGGGGCCCTCCTGACCCGTTCACAGATCATCCCTCTTCCGTGGGCTGGGGCACCTGGGTCCCTCTGCAGAGAGCCCAGCGGTGAGTCTGCAGAGGAACCGAGGCTAATTCACACGTTGTGAGCTCACACCCGAGCCGCTGCTCCAGCAACACGCTCCCTCCAGCCAGTCAATCTTGCCTCACACGGCCTGTGATGCATATGGGGTGTCCTCTGCCTGGGAGATCCTCTGCAGGTTTGCAAAGATGACCTCCCAGGGGTGCACAAACTGTGCTCAATTTATCAGTTTCCCCCTCCGTGTTAGCTTAAAAAGCTGCTCATTTAGGGCACACACCCCTCAGCTGGCCATTTGAAGACAAGCTGACTTTCCTCCGTCCAGGTTTATGTTTCCCTCCTGTTTTTCTTTGTATAGAGTATTTTCATTCTTACAATTGTTACACACTGTCGTTGTAGATCCTTCAGAAGAGAGAGAACTGCAAAGCTCAAACTCCAAATTTGCCCACCGATCTGGCTGCCCGTTTGGGGGCACAGCCTTTCTCCTGGGTATTCAGACCCCATTGGCCCACCTGGGCCAAGCAGGGGGAACCAGGAGGCGTTTACAGTGGATGGGCATCGAATGTGAAAGCTTGCTCATCCCACCAAGGATTGCCTGGGTCCATGGGCACCAAGAGAATGTGTGGGTGCTGAAGGTGTGAGGGCGAAATGTGGCCCTGAGGCTTGAGATTCAGAGGCTCCTAGTTTTTTGTTTTCTGGGTTTTTTTCTAAAGATTTTACTTATTAATTGATTGGGATGGGGGCAGAGGGAGAGGAGAGAGAGAGAATATTAAGCACACACTGTGCTGCTGAGTGCTAAGCCTGATGTAGGGCTTGACTCCACCGCCTCAAGACCATGACCAGAGCCAAAATCAAGAGTCAGACACTCAACCACTAAGCCACCCAGGTCCCCAGGGCTCTTTTCTTTTCTTTTTCTTTTTTTTTTTTTTTTTTTTTTTAAGATTTTACTTATTTATTTGAGAGAGAGAGCACACAGGAGAGCATCAGCAGTAGGAGAGGGAGAAGCAGGCTCCCCACCAAGCAGGGAGCCCAACGTGGACCTTGATCCCAGGACCCTAGGATCATGACCTGAGGCTCCCAGTTATCATTAGACTTTTTCTGCAGAGCCAAAAGCAACTTAGGGTGTGAGCAGCAGGGGCTGTGCTCAGCCCTAAGGTAAGCTGCCCATGCTCTCCATGTGCCTCAGTGGTATCAGCTGTGAAATGGGGCTCTGCAGGACTTTGTTGGGCGTGAGGGAGTGTGGACATGGAGGGCTCTGAGATGGAGCATCTGCTGGAGTCAGACATTGCCCTCAGCTCTTGGCAAGGCTGACCTCATTGACCCTCCCTGAAGCCCTAGGAGGCGGTACGTTACTATGTCCACTTCATAGTCAAGAAAACAGAGGCCTCATGCAGTGAGTAACTTGCTCAAGGCCACAGTAGGGGAGCCAGAGCTTGCAGGAAGTCGAGGAGCCCCAGAACCTGCGCACCTAACACTGTCCTTTTCTGCTTTGCTCAGGTGAGGTGGTAGTGTCACCTGCTTGTTGGTGGACTCACCCTTCCTGCTCCCTCCCTGCTGTGGCGTGTGGTTGAGGCAGGGTTTGCTTGGGGCCAGTCACCTGCCATTTTATTCTCTCACTCTTCAGTCACTCACCTGCTCCTTCAAGGACGATGTCTTGGGCGTCTCCAGGACACCGGGAACAGTGAGGACCACAAGGTCCCTGCCCTCCAAAGCTTCCTGCCCTCTGGTCTCCAGGGCACAGGAAATGAGTAAAGTGGAATGAAGGATGGGGATCCCAAATGGAACATTTTGTGTTACGGATGATTAATTTCAAGTAAATAGGTCCCTGTGATTAACAAGAACAGTTCTTAGAACTCCCCTTTTGCTGTGTCCTGTAATATTACTCCATTCCCGTAACATTTAGGAAAGGGTAAGTGAACCAAATGGAAAAATCATTGATGGGATTCATTTTTCTAGACTATTTTGTCGTTTCCCTTGGGCTTTTCCAGGGATGTGTGCCTACTGCAGTCACATCCTGAACACGGAGGTGGTATCTTATAGCTCTTTGATTTCCTGATCCCATGATCCCCAAGAGAGGGGATTCAGGGCAGTGATGGTCTACCTGGCTTGCTCCACCTATGCCTCAAGATCTTCATTTGAAGAAATGAATGAATGAATGCACTTCCTGTCCAAGTCAAGAGAGGATATCAGCTGCTCTAGGGAGGACAGGGACAGAATCTCTCCTGAGACTCTTGCAGAATTCAGTTCACTTTTTATAGAGTCCACATAGCCAGATTCGGCTCTGAAGCCAGTATCTCATTCTTGGGGCACCTGAAACGACTCAAGAGTGTCAAGAAGCCTCAACAGGGATGAGCTCTCAGAGGCCTGGATGTGACAACAGAGGTCATACTGAGGGGACCTGAGTCTTGAAAAGGTGCTCCAGCATGTCAGCCTGGCCTGGCCTGAAGGGTGGGTGGCTGTCAAGTGGGAGACCAGCCGGTGTAGGCAGAGCCACGTGTAAGCAGAGCCACGTCGTGCAGGGTCTGGGGCTAACTCAGGAATCCGGGCTAGACCTTGCAGGTGATGGCTGCTGGGCTGGGTTTTGCAGAGATTTCCCAAGCCCCGTTGCATTGCATGTATCACCCATCTGCAGCTCCGTGTAGCCTTCACAATAATGACAAAATCACGGCTTCCTTGCTCAGGACATTCCTGAGCTCAGGACATTCCTAACTATTTCCTGGTGCTCTGATATCTCTGACCCGAAAGCGGAAAGGTCAGCCTCCCTCCTGCAGCAAGGTCTGCAACCACTGTCATCTGCCCATCAGGCCTGGCTGCCCCACCTCAGGCCCAGATTCAAAGCCCCATCTTGCTCTTAGCGTCCTAGCCCTGGCTTTTTGGGGCTCGGCCAAGAATGACCGGTTCTTCATTTTCCTTCCTCCACCCCATGACTTGTTTTCAATGGCAGAGAAGCAAGGCCTTTGGAGATAGTGAGCCATCGTTGAGCTGATGAGCAGAGCTAGGCCGGCCTCGTACAGTTAGGCCTTGCTCAAGATTCTCCGGGTAGTTGTGGCAGGGTATTACAGGTCAGATCCAGGTGGGCCTTGCCCACAGCTGGCCTGGCTCCCACCTGCCTTTGAGAGGCTTCTGGTACAGTTGGCAGGGGTGTGGCAGCACAAGATTCAGTGTGTGTGCATGTGGTAGTGGTGGGAGTGCATGGGTGTGGGTGTGCGTGTGTGCATGTAGTGGAACGGAAGTGCCCTGGTCACTCTGATGCATCACAAATCCAGGTGCTGGACCAGACCCCAAAGGTCATCTTGGCTGAGGTCCCAGCCAAGCACAAAATCACCCAGATGGCTGCTTAGGTCTGGATCACACACAGCCAAGGCCGCCCGTCTTCGGGGGGTGCAGTGTGTGCGTGCTGGTTCCATCTGGTACTGTTCCTCGGTTTCGTGCATCACAAGCCTGCACTGACACAGCGGGGACCACGCTTGCTGCGTGCATGCACATGTGAGCATGCTTCAGCTTTTGCTTTGTGTCCCCTGATCTGGGAAAGCCTGGCCATCCCAGTCCAGCCTGGCCAATGAGTCTGATAGTGAGAAAGGGGCACAGGTGAGCATGTCGGCCTCCTGGAGCACTAATTTCCGTACCTCAACTCCAAGCCCAGCTAATTCCGTTCACATGTCTCACTGGCAAAAGCCAGCAGCTAAAGAGCACTGTGCCTGGGGAGCAGCAGAAACAATCTCCAGCACACTCCTTTGGCTCCCGGTTCCCACCTCTGCCACCATCCTGGAGTTGGATGCAAACCTCTCTGAAAGCAGCCTGGGGCCCTCCAGGAACCGCGCTTCTCTCTCTGCAGGTGTGTGGCCATGATGATGAACGGACTCACGCCAACCACCATCAAGAGCTTCTACCTGGCTGGCTGCAAGGTGAGGATAACCTGGGCGGAGTGCGCCGCACCTGGAGACTTCTAGGAGCACCCCAGGCCCTGGGATTTTACCCCACCCCCCACTGGCTCAGCTCCCAAAGATCTACCTGAAAGCACCCGCTTACGGGTACCAATGGTTTATTTTGCCAAGTAAACAATTTTAAAAATCATTTTATTTTAAAAGGACATTTTAAGACCAATTAAAAAAAATTTTTTTTTAAAATAAAAAAGCCTTCAAATCAGGGGGATGAATGAAAGCACAGCCTTTTTCATCAAAATAGCAGACAACTTTCCAGAACATTCTTGTTGGAGTCAGGAGAAACCATCTCCCCCACCCTACCTCACCCCCGGGGCCCAGTCACTGTGTCAATTCTGGGAATAGATGATGTAACCTAGAGTCTCGTTATCAGGGGGAAACGCTGAGACCCAAGGAGGGGAGCAGTCTGATGTGGGTGACAGTGTCTGAGTGGCGGTGCTGGGCTCGAACCCCAGGCTGCCTGACCCAGCCTTCCTCCTTGAGGCCACCATTGACCTGGGTGGACACTCACACTGTGAAACAGGCACATCTGACCGTAACGTTTGGTTTGTGCACCATCAACACGTCATAAGCTCTTGCGATGGCATCTGAGAATGTGCTCGGGGCCTGTTTCGTTAAAGACAATGCAGTGTCCTCCACTCCGCCGGCTACTAGAAAGTCACTCTGTGGGCAGCAGCTTTGCATTCTGGTCAGCAGTTCTGACCAGCACATCTGGGCCACTCTTTGGCCCGGGAAGGACTGTCGCCTCAAGGACATGCAAGGTGTACCGAGACCTGTCAAGGTCCCTGGCCCTGGAAGAAGGTTCTCATTTTGTTTAGACTTTGATGTCAGGATACGTGCCCCCTACCAGGCTCAGAACTCCATGTGGGGTCCACCCTGCAGACCCTTCCAGGATCAGTGACTGACTTTAGCCCAGCGATTTCGGTGTGCAGCCCTGTGGTCAGACCTCCAGGGTTTGCTCCTGGCCCTGCCACTTGCTAGTTGTATGACTGTTGTTCGCAAGAGCAGTGATCTTGGGGCCTCCGTTTCTCCATCAGTAAAATGGGGATAATTAAGTAAGCGACCATGTAGGACTGGGGTGAGGGTTAATTTAAATCAACCTAGTGCAGGGCTGGGAGCATAGCAAACACTCTAAAAATGTTGTCTGGGGCGGGCTCTGTATTTTGAAGAAAAGGTTCGCGCAGGTCTGCTGCAGGTCTGGCCCCAGAGCGCGCTTGTAGCATCGTTGCAGACCAGCAGAGGGTGCTGAGAGTTCAGGGATCTCCTTATCAATGGGCTTTTCTTTCCCCACTCAGTACAAGGAAGAGCAGCTCACCACTGCCTGTGAGAAGTGGCTGGAAATGAACTTGGTCCCTCTGGTGGGGAGGCAGATCCACCTCCGGAAAATCCCGCAGGAGCTGCTTCACAGAGTGCTGCGGTCCCCCAGGTCAGAGCTGGTCCTCAGGGGTGCAGTGTGTGGGACCAGGAGTTGTCCATGCAGTGGGCCTGGGGCAGCAGGGCTGGGCCTGGGAGGCAGGTGCTGCAGGGGGGCGCACCCACACACCAGCTGGCCAGGCCCGATGTGCAGCACCTGCTCCGTCCCAGACTCCCCACCATCTCGGACAGCCAGCCCCAGGTGGGGGCCGAAACGTGGGTGTAAGGGGGTGGGGCCGGGGCTGGGCTCCCTTCTCATGCCTGCTTTGGGATAGGGACCCTCTGGGTGCCTGCTATCCCGTTACTCACCTGGTGATTAATTCAGCAATTGCCTACGTAATTAAAAAAAAAAGAAAACCATCCTGACAACGTTGATAAACCTTCACTGTGGAAAATGGAAAGTAGAGAAAAGCAGAAAACAGAGCACAAAGCCTCTCCTCCTCAATCAGTTCCTATCTTTAGCCCTGATTCCTCTGCTGAATCGCTCTGACCCCAACATCTGTTGGGCCTGACAGCTCAAGCCAACACCCAACCCTTGGGGTCCTGCCCTATGTTCCTCCAGCACTCGCTCAAGCTAGAGCCCTGGGAGTCCTTGTGCACACCACTTGCCCTCACCCCCAAGGGTGTCACTAGCCCTTCCAGACCCAGCCCATCGCTATGGGCTTCTCTCCTCAGGCTCCAGGATGGAGGCCAGACCTCCACCAGCTCTTGTCTGGACCACCGCAGGGACCTAGTCTAACTCAGAGTCTTGTGTCTTGAGCCCCTCCAAGAGCATCTAGCCAAGGGGCCTCTGCTGTGCCCATCTGCCCCTGTGCCTCCCCAGCCACGGGGCATCCACGGGGCTACCTTAGACTCCAGCCGTGCTGAGCACCTTGCCACCCCCAGGTGTGCTCTCCCTCCTGCCTGAGATGCCTGGCTCCTTCCCATCCTTCGAGTAATTCACAGAAATGTCCCCAATGCTTGACCTTTTAGGTCATTTCTAGTGTTTTACCAATATAAATATAGCGCCTTGGTGACATCCTTCAACGTACATGTCTTTATCTCAGATTATTTTCCCATGTTAAATTTCTAGACGTGCCATGATGAAATCAAAAGGACTTTCTGGTCTTGTCACAAGTAAAAAGTATTTTTTTTAAAGATTTGATTTATTTATTCATGAGAGACACACACGGGGGGAGAGAGAGAGAGAGAGAGAGAGGCAGAGACACAGGCAGAGGGAGAAGCAGGCTCCATGCAGGGAGCCTGACGTGGGACTCGATCCCGGGACTCTAGGATCACACCCTGGGCCGAAGGCAGGCGCCAAACCACTGAGTCACCCAGGGATCCCCAAGTAAAAAGTATTTTTAAAAATATTCTATTTGAAAATAATTTCAGACTGAAATGAAAAGTGTCAAAATGGTACAAAGAATATTTATGTACCCTTTACCCTGTTTTGTTCAATCTCTGCCACTTGCTTGGCCATCCGCACCTGTATGTGGTTATGTACCCACATCTTGTTTCTGAACCCTCTGGGGGCAAGGTGCATACATCATGTACCCTTCTAAATGCTTCAGCGTTTATTTGCTGATTCAAAAATTTTGATCACAATGCAGTTTATCAACTGCAGGGAATGTAGCATCGATGCTAATACCTCACATCGTTGGCCCAGTGCTCTCCTTTATAACATTCGTTCATCCGATGCAGGGTCTGATTTAGGGTGACATATTGCATTGACTTGTCATGACTCTCTGGGACTTTTTAAATGGCTCTTGATACCCATTGCCAAGTTACCAAGATTGTGTCCTCTTTGGGTGAATTTCAAAAGTGAGAAGTAAATTCGACTAAAGATGTTAGCTGTGTATTAGAAATTGAATGTTTACTCGTGCCTATGGGGTGGGAAGCCTTCTGCATTCAGAAATTAGACGTGGACAGATTCATTCCACTGTTGCTTTGCATTTACTAAGTGGCTTGCGATGCCGTCACACCTAAAGAGAAATGAAGTTGGGAGAACAGGGTTTTGGTGTTGAGGAAGACCCCCCCCCCGGGGGGCCCTGGGTGGGCTCTGGTGTCAATCTGCCCTACCCCCTACTGCTTTTCCCCACATGTGCCCCCCCCCCCCTCCACCAGAGCACAGGTTACACAACCATTGAAGAAAAGATAAACATGGCATCTCTTAGACGTTTCCCAACACTGTCCCTCCCTTGGAAAGACTGAGCTGTCCTGCCCTGGAAGCATTTAACCAAGAAAAGGGAAAAACTGTCTGACCACAGCCAGAACCTTGGTGATGGGATGGGCCTTACAAAACGTACACGAGGCAGGAAAGAGGTCAAGCACTTTTCCACGTCAAGTGTCTAGACTCACCAGCTCGGGGAGACATGACTGGTGTGGGAACTGGGTCCTGCTCCTCCGGCCCCTCCCCCGGGGCTGTGTGCACACAGTCCAGAGCCATCTGCTGCTGGAGCGGCAGGAGGGGAGAGCCCCGTGGCCCTGAGCACGTCACCAGCCCATGTGCCTGGGAGGCACCAGGCAGACAGCTCCCAGGCCTCACGTTCACATTCCTGGAGGCAGCTTCTCCTCGCCTGCCCCATTGAGGCCTAGCGGCCACCTGCTCTGGAGCTGGAGGGAGCGAGGGGAACAGAGGGTGTTGGAAGAGGGGGCCTGGCTGCACCCGGGCCTGGTGGGATTGTTAGAAATCTACCCAGGCCCGGGCTCCTCACCTGCGCACACTCGTTGGCTGGTGGATCTGGCACCTTGGACCGCAGCTGATTAAGAACAAACCTTTGGATGGGTTCACTTTTATCAAGCACTCTGGGATATGCGCTGTGCTCTGTGCACTGTCTCTCCAACCCCACAACCCTGGGTGGTAGCTACACTACAGTTATTGGCCCCAAGATAAGAGAGATGATAAAAGGTAGGGCTGGGCTCAAGCCCAGTGCTCAGGCTCCAAGGTCCAGACTCCCACCCTCCACGCTGCACTGCCTCTTTACGTGTCCCAGAGGCCAGGCCTCCCAGGCACCAGGACTCAGCTAGGACTGGGTTGTCCTGGCGAGTCACAGGCCCCCAGAGCGGTGTGTGGAATTGCCAACCCTTGAGGGGTCAGGGACGTTGCATCCCCCGAATCCCCAGGGGCCTGCATAGTGTGGACTGTGGTCATGGTGTCTGGGTCTCTGAGCCTCCTGGGAACAGCATCCAAACACTCAGCAGGTGTTTCAACTTACGGGCCATTCCCCTTCCCTTTCTGAAGTCTCTTTGGCTTCATCTTTCATTGGGTTTTGCTTTCGGTTTTGTAAACAGCCTCGCATAAAGTACACATGGTTTTCCTGACCTCCGGGCCTCTGGATTTCATTTCTTTGCCTGGGCCTTGGGTTTCCAATTAAGTTTCTCCTTAGAGGTCATCGCTAGGTTACCCTGTTCCGTGAACTCTAATACCATGAAAGCTTCATTCCAAATTCTGCTTTTCTGGAAGCCAAGCTCCTGCTAGACTTAGAAATGGAAAATTCAGCCAGCTGTCCAGTTCCTATCTGCATGGAAAGCTGCCCTGTAACCCGGAGCTCTGCCCACTTTTCCCTGGCTTCCTGTCCGTGATACCACCAGTCTTGGGGGCTCAGGAATCCCCAAGAGAAGCCACCCCTGTCCTCCCTGGCGAGCCCATCGCACAGCTTTCCTCCCAGTATCTGGAACACCATGGGGCATGGCTCTCAAACATAATAGTTCCTGAAGCTGATGCTTCTCTGGCTGATAGCGACAACACTTACCAACTGTTGAGCGCTTGCGGTATACAGGACACGGGGTGGGTTATTGGCCTGACTCCTATGGCCACCCAGGGAGGTGGATATTACCTGTGTTTTCACCTGTGGAATGGAGGTTACGGGAAATGAAAAGATTAGCCCAGGTTCCCCCACGCAGCGTGAGATTTGGGATTTGAACACAGATTTGAGTGGCCTCAAAGCCCCAGGCATTAAAAAAAAAAAAAAAAAGCCCCAGGTCTTTACCAGCCCAGTCCACTGCTGTGCTCTGCATGAGGACTCATTTTTTCTTATTGATATTCAGGATTAATAAGGATATTGATAGCTATTTTTTATTATAAAAACACTTAAAGGTAGGAGGATAATAGAAAACACAGTTGGAAGCCATCTCCCAAAATGAACAATGACATTTTGTCATAAGAAAGAAAACATAACCAATAAAGCAGAAGTCAACTCCCTAAAGACAATCAGACCATTGTCCTGGGCCTGAATAAACCCAATCCCTGTGATTATATTCTTACTACATATATGCGTGTCTACAAATAATGTGTAATATTGTTTCATAAAAGCTTAAACTTCAAATTGATGTTCTTATAGTGGCCGTACTGGTCGACAGCTTACTTTATTTACTAACCTAATGCGATATGTTCTCTCCATGTTGTTACTTACATATCTAATTAACATTTTAAGTTTGATGTTGCACAGGGTTCCAGTGAATAAATAGCAATTTTTCATCCTCTTCCTAATGGGCTTTTGTTTTATGTTGCTTTATTTTTTTGTTGTGGCAATCAGTGCTGCCATAGACACCCTTGTCATGCTTTCTTCTGTGCATGGATACAGCTTTCTCTATAGTCTATACTCAAAGGGAGCCCTTTATTATTTATGTAAAATTTTCTCAAAAAAAAAAAAGAGACAGTGTCTCGTTAAAAACATTTTTCTCTTAAAGAACAAATACCAGTTACATCCCAATGGCTACTAGTGAGCACCAATAAACACAACTAGGACAGCCCAGATGTTCACCTATGTCAGAGGGAAGTTTAGGATCTCTGAGAGCTCTGTGAGGCCGTCAGAGCTCTTAAGTAACTGAGAATATGTTTGAATGTCCTCAGCAGGAAGCACTACTTTAGGGTACTGGTACTTGGCCTCAAGCTGGAGGGAGGGTTAAGGGCGCCTGGGTGGCACAGACATTGAAACGTCCAACTCTTGGTTTTGGCTCAGGTCATGATCTAAGTGTCCTGAGGTCAAGCTATGTGTCAGGTCCCATGCTCAGTGTGCAGTCTGCTTGAGATTCCCTCTTCCTCTCCTCCTGTCCCTCCATGCCCCACCCCCATGCATTTTTTTTCCTCTCTCTCTCAAATAAATAAATAAATTTTTAAAGACAGGACGTGTGATGTGATGAGCCCTGGGTATTATGCTGTATGTTGGTAAATTAAATCAAAAAAAATTGAAGAGAAAGAAAGGGTGAAAGAAAAGGAAGGATGGAGGAAGGAAAGACAGAAGGAAGGAAAGAAGGAAGGAAGAGAGAGCGGGAGGAAAAAAGGAAGGAATCGGTATACCTTGAAAAGAGTACTTGGTCCACTGTAGCAGCTTAAATATAGGTTTGGGTTCCCTAACAGACACTCAAAATATTTGTGACTTAAATAAAATGGAAGTGTATACCCTGAAAAAAAAAAAAAGACAGAGGGCTTTATTTGAACAATTACCCTCCACAATAAAAGTAAAACCGGGACCCTGATTCATGGAACCCCAACGACTCCTCCCATGTTGCTGCCTGGTCCTCTTGGTGAGGTTCCCAAAGAACCTCTAGGCTGGGGGTCCTCGGGCTTGGATTCTGCACCGGGAGTCACATAGCTCCCCAGCCCAGTGGTGGTTGGTGTCTTGGTGGAGTTCTCTGCAGGTGCATCATATACTAAGTGGCTCTGTGACATCCCCCCTCCTGCCTCACCATCATTGCCCAGATGGTGACAAATTTGGTCCTGTCTGGCCAGAGTCAAAGCCCATGCATCTGTAGGTGGCCTGGAAACAAAGAAGAACAAAGAGATGTTCTACTGTGACCAGAAATAGCGTGAAAGGTGGGTGGGTGACATTTCCATTACCCTTTAGAGTCACCACTTAGCTTGGGGCCCACCCACCAAGACTAGTCAAAGTGATGGGTGCAGAGGCTCTGATAGGTTTTGAAACCAGCATGTCATCTCTGTGGTCAAGATGGGAAATATCAAGGAGTTTAAGAAACATTAAAATGACTTCTTAGATAATCAAGTTGTCAGAGGCTTCAGAGAAGGCCTTTGGGAGATACCCTTACTTTACAGAGTTGACGTTGTAGGGAGTGACATCCTCCTTCCCACCACCTGCTTCTAGGTAAGAAGTATCATGCCAGTGCAGGCAAAGCGTGGGCTCTGCGGCCAAGACCCAGCCCGGCTGTCTAGGAGTCAGAGCTGCCGTTTGTTAGCACGCTCCTATGTGCCAGGCCCTCCGCTAAGCAATCTGTGTGTGTGTCGTCAGCTCCATAATGTCAACATCCCAACCCCCGGCGCCTGTGAATATGTTAGGTTGCATGGCAAAGGGGAAACAAGGTTGCAGGTGGATGACCTGGAGCTCAGGAGCGTGTTCTGGATTACCCGGACGGGCCCAATATAATCACAAGGATCCTGGCATGTAGAAGATGAAGGCAGGAAAGTGAGAGGTGGAAGGAGATTGGAAGGTGCTGTGCTGCTGGCCTGAGGATAGAGGAGGGGGCCACGAGCCATAGGATGTGAGTGGCCTCCAGAAGCTGGAGAAAGCAAGGAAATGACTCTGTATAGAGCTTCCAGAAAGAATGCATCCGCACCTTGATCTTGGCCCAGTGAGATACATTTTGTTCTTCTGACCTCCAGAACTGTAAGATAATAAATGGATGTTGCTTTAAGCCAATTGGTTCATGGCTATTTATTACAGCAGCGACAGGAAACAGCCTGCCACTCACACAGCCTCTGAGCATCTGCTGTCACCACTATCTACGGATGAGGGAGTTGTGGCTGTGGGGCCACTGAGCACCTGCAGGAGGCTCTACAGCCGGCTTGTGGCTGGACTGACCCACACCCAGGTCTGACCCCAGAATCCTGGGACCCTGACTAAGTTATTTTGCCCTCAGTGCTGGCTGGGACTAGAATGTGATTGATGGTTGAGACACTTACCTCAGGTGCGAAATTTAAGGGGACACCAAAAAACCTTAGTCGTCCAGATGAAGTATAATGCAGTGCAATATTTAAAAATAAATATTAATCCAAAAAAAGCGATGAATGAGATATTAAAAATTTAAAGAAACATAGCGTCAGTCTGAATTTACGTATCTATAAAAGTGGGGAATATATTCCAACTTGGCAGGATGGTTATATGGATTTCAGTGAAAGAAGATATGAAAACATCTCAGGCACACCGGTCCATAGTAAGGGCTCGTTAAAGCTGCCCATTGCTTTGGCAGCACATGGGGCGGGGGGCAGGCCGCTGAGGTCACAGCCCAGCTCCCGTGACCTTGAGGACGTCATTTAACATCTCTGTACGAAGTGACCTGCAGACTCAGGGGCGGTGGTGTCTCCCTCCTGAACTTTCCCTTCTTGTTTTCTTCCAAATGACTTCAGTTGCTTCTCCTAAAATTTCTTCTCTTCTATTTTGGCCAGGTTGTTCACTTTTACTGAGTTTCATCTTCTGAAAACGCTACTTTTGTGGGTCTTCTTGCAACTGAACCACAGAATTCAGACAGTTCCGGTGCATGAAACCGTGCTGGCGTTTTTTAACAGGTAAAGTAACTCGGTGTGGGTTGATGAAATGCGCATACAATGGTTTTTTCACTTGTGATATCCTGGAGGAAAAGCGTCAGTGATGTGATTTTTCATAGCGTCATCGAGAGTACACAGAATGCAATTTTCTTGATGGGGCTTAGGATTACGTGATGCCTTTGAGCCAGTGGCGTACTTGAAAGCGTGAAGAATATGTAGGTGTTGTAATGTGAGAGAACCGTGTGCTTCTGAACACTTGTTCTGTCCAGTAAAAGACAGGAGGCACAGGGTACTCCTTTTATTCAGGAAAATTTATTACCAATCCTCACTGACCTTAAAAGCATCATGTTTGGGACAGCCCCGGTGGTGCAGTGGTTTAGTGCCGCCTACAGCCCAGGGTGTGATGCTGGAGACCCGGGATCGAGTCCCACATCGGGCTCCTTGGGTGGAGTCTGCTTCTCCCTCTGCCTGTGTCTCTGCCTCTGTGTGTGTGTGTGTGTGTGTCTCATGAATAAATAAATAAAATCTTTAAAAGAATCATGTTTAAAATGTATCTAAATCAGATCAGGTCATCCTTGCTTATATTTCACAGTAGCATAGGACAGTCTGAATTTTCTAGACAAATGGAAGGGCACCTGAATGCACAAAGGTTTCATAGAATTTACTCAGCATCTTGTACTCTCCAATCTTGTGAATTCTAGAGATGATAGATCTCAAAATTTCAGTGAAAAATAATGATTTCAGTTTAATGGACACCATTTAATTATGCTCCCTAAGGGCAGTCGTTCTGATAAGCACTTTCTGTTTGGAATCTCATTTACTCCGCAGAGGACTCCGGGGCTGGTTTTATTCCCATTTTACAGATGAAGAAAGGGGAGGGGGAGATGAGCCATCTCACCAGAAATCATGCAAGTGATGACGCAGAGTCTGACTTGAACTCAGGCCTGCTGAACCCCAAACACTTTGCTCCCCATTCCTAGAACGGTGGATAGGATTCCTCTCTTGAGTCCACTGCAGCCAGTTCAGTAATAGCTCCCTGGGCACCGTGTTCAGAAAGATTCTGAGGCTGCCTCTGGGTTCAGTGTTATCGTTGGCCGAGGACTTGCAGTGAACATGCCCTCCCTGTGCCACCCTCTGCTGTGAGAGTTCTCTATCTGTTCGATCAAGAGTGTCCCCATTAAGCAGTGACAGCTGTGGCGGCTTGGGGGGCAGGGGTGCAGGGGCGGGGAGAGAGTGAGATTGATACTTTATGGGGCTCATTTTGTGCCTCTTTAGCCTCAATGAAAACTTGGCAGATGTGCTCAGGTCATGCAAGCCGGCTGTGGAGTGGGGTGGTCCTGTAGCCAAAGACAGTCCCCGGCGGTCCTCGGAGGATCGGCCTGGGGGGAGTCACTGATGCCATTACCTTCGCTGTTGGGTTCATGCGTCCGCTCCCCACCTCAGCAGGAATGGGGCTTCCAGGCACGATAAGGTGTTCGAGGAAGCCAGGAGGCTCTGTTTCTGGTGCACATGTGAGCGGAGCAGATAAACACATCTTCCACATATTCATCAGCAGATTGACCTGTTTAAGCCAAGTTTCATTTGCATTGTTCTGAAGCATTTAATCCTTTTCTGGAACATCTGTGCACCATGTTAACGAAAGAGCCCATTTTCCCTGTCTCATTATTTGGGGAAAGCAGTGTTCAGTGCCAGAATGATATGCACTTTGCTTAGTTTCTATATAATTTGCTTTGAACGCAAATGCCTGCCCCCCCCCGCCCCCCGACTCTTTTAATAGCTCAAGAGACACTTTTTCCTGTGAGTCATGTGCACCAGGAAAACTTGCTCTTTGGCTCCAAGTTAGCATTCATACTGGAAACATCTTAGAATCAGGAGGTAGGAAATGAGCTGGGATGTGGAAACGGTGTTTTTAATGTGGGAGAAACAGTGGGAATGAGGCTCTTGGGTGTGTAGCCCCCTCCACTGAGAGTGGGGTGTCCTCGGTTTTCCTGAGCTGGGGTCCCGAGGCTCCTCCCCACCGTTGTTAGGTTTTCCATTCCTCTCCAATCTACGCTGGCTCCATTTTGAGCCCACCTCTATCCTCCAAGGCATTTCCCAAGCCCTCGAGGCCACCTTGTTCCTTGATGGAAATCGCTTGTGAGTGTCTATGTGGTGTCTCAAAACCTTGTACCCGGGCCCTGTTTTCTCTGATTGTGGCGCAGGAGTGACTCCCAGCAGCCTGCCTGCGGGCCTGCCTTCCCTCCACAGCAAGCTTCGTGCCCCTCAGGGAGAAGAGACAGGTCACCTGGACCTGGGTGCTCCCCGCCACTGCAGTTGCCCAGGCCCACCCCCAATCTTGAGGACCATGTGCACATTTGTAGAATTGTAGGTGGTTCTCTTTCATCCTGGTTCTTCTGCCCCAGAACAGATGCTCCCTCATCGATGGCTCCACCTCCCAAATGCACATCCCCTGAGTCCCCAGATTCCTTAACCTAGGTTATCAACCCTTGTTGCTCCTGCTTACCCGCCCCAGCCTGCTCTGTCCCCTTTGCCAGTCTGTCCTTGCAGGGCCTCCCCTGAGAGTCTCTGTGACCAGTCCTTTACCACCACTTGGTGTGTACATAACGTCCTACCTCCCCAGGTGCATCATGAGCAGCTTAAAGGAAGGGTCTGTGGGCCTTTATCTCACCCCCAGCTTAGCTGGCCCTGGCTATGCATGGAAGAGCTTACTGAATGATGAGTTTCCATCAATTGTTTTTGTGTAGCTTGGTTCCCCTCACAGGAGAGGGTCTTACTATGCTGATGCAAAATTCAGAGAACACCTGTCTGTAGCAACTTGAGATAATAGGGCTCACGGGCCGATGACTGTGGTCATCTTGTTCCAGACAAGGAAGGGTTCCAAGGCTTTCTCTTGGCTTGGGGGGAGTTAGTGATGTCTAGCCTACCCATGGCAGTGGGTGGTGGCACCCATGCTCCGAGTTTACCATCCCGTCCTGAGGATCTCCGAGGCCGGCCTACAGTAGGACAGGGTTTCGGGGCTGCTGGGCCAGTGGAGCTGGTGGCCCGAAGGCTCAGGCTTTGAGAAGCTACCTCTGCTCTTCGTGGTGGAGGGAGCCTACAGGAAGTCACAGCCAGCTTGGGCCAAAGTTGGGTCACCATGGGAGCTGACTCGACACAGTTTAATGAGGCCAAAGGGAACAGCTTGTCAAGTTTCTGTGACCACCAACAGGGACATGCCATGGGCACTAAAAGATGGGGCACAGCAGCAGTCCCATCTGGGAGACAGTTTGTAGGCTAAGGAATGAGAATCAAGGAAGTTGGCTCTTTGTTCCAGTTTTTGAAGTTGCAACTATTGGTGACATAATATAAAAGATAGAGTGATTTATCAGGGATCTCCCGTGGTCAGATGGACATGTTGAAGCCATCACAATATAGGGACTCCCCAAAAGGGACTGTACTTTCTTTTTTTTTGGGGGGGGACTGTACTTTCATAACAGGTGGAGGTGGGACAGGCTGCCTGATTCTGAGCTAGTGGGGGTCCTGTGACCCCCGGGGCAACAAGAGTGCTCTGCAGCCCTGGGTATGGCCTTGGCTAGCTCAGCATCCAAATCCGAGCACTTGGAGCAGTACTTGAGTAAAAATAGGTCAGATGCCCCTTTTCTTATCTGTCTTAGCAATGTCCAGAAAACAAGCAAGGAAGGAAGGTATTTGAATAGTTGACTCTTCTTCCAATGCCAACTGTGCCTGCAAAGAAAAACATAGGCCCAAGCCTTTCTTATTGTCCAGTTTTCTTTGATTCACTGATTTTTTTCCCCAATTTTTTATCCATTCAACAGATAGTTATTAAACAAGCATTCTATGCTAGGGACACTAATGGCAAGGTGAAGGGGAAGTTTCTTTGCCTAGCCAGGTGGGTATGAACATCTTCCAGCTTATTTTCATCGCTAAGCATCATAGGAAGGGACCACTCACACGCGCGCGCACACACACACACATACACACACCCCTTCACCACCCACAGTCTGTTAATTTAGAAAAACAAATAGGCCGGCCAGAATTAAATTTAACATTTCCTTTAGGAAAAACAAAAAATGTAAGCAAAGCTGTTGCCTCTGTCCACAGAGGAAAAGTCATCATTTCTTTCCAGTTAGCAATCCGAGAAGTCCAGGAAAGCTGTAAAAACGTCATCAGTAGAGCCAGAGGCAGGCAAATGTTTCGCTTTTTTAAAAATACATTTTTAATCAAAATATAAGATACGTGCTGAAAAGTGCACGAACCTCAAGTGGGTTTCCACAAAGTCGCACACACCTGTGTCAGCAGTGCCCAGCCCGAGAGACAGACTTGGGGCCAGCCACCTCGAGCGTCTTATCTCAGTCGCCACCTTTCCCAGAAAAAAAAAGCAAACAACATCCTGGCTTCCTTTACTTTCAAGATGTCTTGGCTGCCTTTGAACTTTGTGTAAATAGAATCTTACAGTATACACTTTTTAATGTCTGTCTGCCCTTTCACTCAACAGAGTATCTGTAAAATCTGTCTGGGGACAGATGGCCAGGGAAGGCAAGGGGCGCGCTCAGGGTCCTTCGGCCACAAGGTATGGGGTGGGGGCTGACTGAGGTCTCCGGGATCTTCTGACACTCAAAATAAGAATTTTGAGTCTCTCTGGGTTGCAGGAAAGTCGTGAGTAGACCTGTAATTCTAGTCCTTAACTGATTTGTTAATCACTACACGGGCCCCTCTCGGTCCCAAGGATGGGTCCCAGCACTGGGCTTAGCACCTCCCCAGAAGAAAGTCACTGAAAGCAGCCAGTGAAGCCAATCTCCACGTGATCCCCACTCCTAGATTTGCCTGACCGCTGCGGCTGAGTGTCTCCTCCTTCTTTGGTCCTTTCCAAATCTGACCCAATCTTTACAGCACTGGCCAAGGGCTCCTCCGGGAAGCCTTCCCAGATCTCACCTGCCCACCAGACAGATTCGTCCTCTGAGCTTCTCTTTGCAGAGAGCACGAGAGCATGTGCTGACCCTGTAAGTGGGCCCTGGCCTGACAAACCCAACGCTGTGTTCCCCCCGCCCCGTAGCCTGCAAGGGGAGCCTTGGAGGAGGGCCGCCTCACCCACACCCTGCACCCCTGACACCTGAGCCTGCTTTGCTTTTGTTTTTGTTTAATTTTATTTATTTATTCATGAGAAACACAGAGACAGAGAGAGAGGCAGAGACACAGGCAGAAGGAGAAGCAGGTTCCATGCAGGGAGCCCGACGTGGGACTCGATCCTGGGTCTCCAGGCTGAAGGCGGCGCTAAACCGCTGAGCCACCCAGGCTGCCCCTGAGCCTGCTTTGTGACGCTGTGTGACAGGGCAGCCAGAAGCCGGGTGTCTCTTGTAATTAATGAGTGACATTTGCAGATGTGGCCACAGAGTCATCATGAAACTGGGCACCCCTGGTGTGACAACTCTGATCTCTTAACCAGAACATTCATTCTGAAATACCCCATGAGTCACGGACCTGAGAGCCATTGAATCGTTCTGTCTCGGATTGCCAACCCTTGTGCGGGGAGGTGGATATATTTGGGGGCAACGGGGTTTCTCATGACTGGAGTTTTGTGTTTCTTGCCTTTTTTAATTTCTTCTCTTGCTCTGACCACACTGCCCCTGCTCCCCTAGTGTTTGGCTTTCCGGAAGCTGAAACTTCTTTGTTCTCAAGGTCCCTATATACTACGGATCCCTATTCCTTACTAACTTTTCACTTCCCTCATATGCCTTCTTGGCTTTCCACCCAAACTGGGTAGCCCCAACGTGTCTTCTTCAATAAGAATAGAGACGCGGCAGGAGCCTCAGGGGTGTAAAGCGTCTGATGTAGGAGGTCCTTAGGGCAGATGGGATTACCATTACCCCGTTCTGCTTTTGCACAAAGGTCAGGACTGACTTCATTGCTAAGATGACATGGAATTGGGTCTCAATGAGTGTCTGACAGGACTTGGCCTGGCAAAATAAGCATGGGAACAACAGCAGGTGGGACCCCATCAGCACAGGAAGATCAGCTTGCCAGAGCCTGGCCTGTGTGCACATGTGTGTGTGGTATGCGTGCGTGTGTGCGTGCGCTGGGGCGGGACAGCTGGCATTCCTCGAAGAGACACTGTGGGCGAGTGGAGGGAGGGATGCTAGGATGGAGGCTGCCAAGCTGGCGGGACCAGCTTCTCATCCAATTCATCCACTCAACATCTTGCAAGCCCACTGAGCACCAGGCCGTGCAAGAGGCGCCAAGAGGACGAGAGCAAACAAAACAAATGCCAAGCCCCATCTTCCTGGCGTTTACAGACTCAGAAGCAGAGACAGACAAAACATTCGGTAAATAAGGTGTAGGTAGCCGAGGGCGGCCCCAGGTCTGGGTCCCACCCTGCCACCGACGGGCTGCGAGACTGTGGGCCAGGACGTGAGCAGTACTCGTGCGTCCCTGCGTGGACTCTGGCAATACCCTCCTACCAGGACCCGTGCAGATTCACTGGGACTTGAGGAACAGGCCCCCTGGCAGGAGCTTCTGAAGGGCAGGGACGTCTGGGAGGTGACGGTGGTGGCAGCAGTCAGAATCGTTTTCATGTGCTGCGCTGTAGGGTCAGGAGCCCGGGGGACCGGGTCCTGGCTTCCGACTGTCTGAAGGTGCCCATGTCTACACCGAGTTACATTTTGAAAAAAGCCTTGTTTCCCTCTCATCGTGAGTTATGGCCCCAAAGCGTGCAACTTTTTTTCCCCCAAATGTCACCTTAAAATTTAAACTATCATTTCATATATTGTTCATAGAAATGATGTTTTATAATCCTCATTCTCTTTTATTATGGTGAAATATTCAGGACATAAAACCGACCACTTTAACCATTTTTATGTGTGTGGTTTGGTGGCAGTAAGTACGTTCAGACGGCTGTGCAACCATCACCTCCTTCCATCTCCAGAATGTTCTCATCTTTCCAAACTAAACTCTCTATCCAATCAACAATAAATGGAGAGCCATTCCCCTGCCCCAGACAACCACTGCTCCACTTCTGTCTCTATGGGTTCCACTCCTCTAGGGATCTCTGAATGTGGAATCGCATCGTATTTGTTCTTCTGCGTTGGGCTTGTTTCTCTTAACATAAAGTCCTCAGGGTTAATCCATGGAGCATCATGTGTCAGAATTCAGAAGTGTGTATTTTAAGGCTAAACTTTGAAGTACTGGGGTAATGGGGCCCTGAGTCAGATGCTCACAGGAAGGATAAATGACTGGCATATGACAGGATGGGGGAAGTGAGAAGGTTGTGGCTAGGAGCAGCTCTAAAATTACAGCCTATGCCAGTCAGAGGGACACTTGTCCCAGGCACTGCCTTTCAGGAAGTCTGTGGGGGATTTGTCCCCAGGCCCTTGAAAGCAGGACCCAGAGCCAACCTGGGTGGGGTGTGTCTTTCAATCTCAAAGCCTAGGAACTGTCCTCTCCAAAGGGGTCACGACCAAAGAGTTTCTTAAAGAACTTTTGGAGGCAGACACCATGGCCTGAAGTTGGCCCCAGAGAAGTCAGTGCTAAACCCAGAGAGATCTTTGCACAGGCAGCACTGAGTGCCAGCTGAAGCCATGCCAGCATTTGATCCCACCAACAGAGCCGTCCAAAGAGGTCCCCTCTACTTAGCGTCAGCTTCCTCTCACTTTAGGGAAAGTTGGGTGAATGCACTCATCGTTGAACCAGAGAATAGTAGATGCCTCTGTCTCTAGAAAATTGAGAGGAGCCAAGTAAGATGGAAAAGGCACTGGACTGTTCTCAGGAGGCCTGGGTAGAGTCCTGGCTCTGCAACAATCAACCTCACCAGTATCCAGGGGCAGGACTATACTGATTGGTTCAAGGTGTTGGACCATAGCCCTCTAAAGCTTTCAGCAGCCGAGGCCACCACTTTCCTCCCCTGAAGTGGCCCGTGTCTTGGGCCGTTTAGAGGGTGGCAGTGATCATGCCCTTAGCCAGCTTGAGTCCAAGTCCTTTTCCCAGGGATGAGAGGACAGTGGTGGTAATCATGAGGCAGGGGGTACTCGCTGGGTACTAGCAGCTGTGCCCAGCACCATCACCTTTACCCCTCCCAGCTACCCGCAGAGGCATATGTGGCTGTCGTCCCTACGTGACAGAGAAGATTAGAGCTCAGAGAGGCTGGGTCACGTGACTGAGCGCCAGCTGGCCCAAGACTGGAGCCTGGTCTGTCTGACTCCAGGCCTAGGCTTGCTGAAGCGTGGTTGGACAATGGATGAACAGACTCATGACCTCGCACGTCAGCTGCCATCAGAGCCACTTCCCTGTGGCCTACAGGGATCTTAAAGTCCAATCACCTGTCTCAACAAAACTCTTCCCCAAATCCTCTGGGAGAGGAGGTCTGTCTGGAGAGCTCCTGGCTGATGGGCTGTCGGGTCTGAGCACCTCTCTCTGGGAGAATCTGGAGCCTTGGCTTCCTCCACTCTCCTGGCAGCCTTCCCACACAACTGCAGAGTTGGTGCCTGGGGGCACAGTGCCTGGGGGGTCCTCCCACTGTCCTTTCCCTTCTGAGTTAAAACTGTCTTAACCTGTAACTCCAGCAAGTGCTCACTTCTCAGGACAGTGCCAGGCTGTGGGAGCCCTTGCCAAGGGTGCAGGCTCATCCCCAGGAGCACTGAGTTTGGCGGGGGTGTGGGTGAACTGTGCCAGCTCGGCCCAGTCTTCCCTCCTTGAGCCCTGCACCCAGAGTGATGCCACCTAACTTGGTCTTCTATTACATGGTGAGAGAGAGGCAGGGAATGAGGCAAGCGAGTGTTACCTGTCCAGCTAAAATATTGTGTTCTCAGGGCCCCGGCAGGGCCCACACCAGCCCAGCTCCACCTGCCCTGGGTAATGGAGGGCTGGTTCTGAGATGAATAGCACTGCCTTCCTGAAAGTATCAGCCTTCCTTTATTTATGACTGATCTGTCCACACCCAGAGACTGGCACCCAGTGGATTCTAGTTAATAATCATTGGATTGAATCAACTCATTTGTCTTGTGTGCCCCTCTTCCCTCTCACCACGCCCCAGCATCCCTAAGCTATCTCCTGGGACCATCACATGGAGAGTCCCAGGAATTCTCAGGTCTTCTGAAAGCAAATGGTCCTCAGCAGGCTGGCAGGCACCCCCAGCAGAGCCAGGACACGGGGCCAATGGTGCATTTAGTCTGGCTGAGACAGGGTGTGATTTGGACATCACTCTTGATTCATGGAAAAATAATCTACAAGTGCCCTTGGCTGGGCTCCTACGGATTTGCCTTGAGGGAATGACTTTGCGTTTCCAAAGGGACTTGGAAAAATTACCCCCATGTCCCCAATGGCGAAAAGTGACCCTTTAACGAAACAAGTTGTTTCAAAACAAGAGTGGTGGGTGGGTGTGTCTACGTGTAGGCATGTTCTCAAAGGGAATCTGATCTCAACCCAGCCCTGACCTTCAGCCACATGTGGAAATTAACTGGAGTTTAGTATGGGCAGTAACTGCCCAAGGGTCGATGGCTTTCCTACCAGAAAGCACTATTGAAGGCCCGCATTGGCCATTCTTGAAAGGGCAGCCTGTGTACAGGAGGAATCTGAAGTCCTGGGTTCAAGTCCTCATTGAGCCTTTGTTTTTCGTCTATGAAATAGAGCCCATGACACCTGCCCCATCTGGCCCACAAGAAGTTTGTGAGACCCACGTGAGAAAATGCCTCTCAAAATCCTCTATAAAGTAGCTCGTTAGCATCAGTCACGTCATAAGATGCACTGTGCACCTGCCATGTGTGTCGTTCCGTGGTGGATGGCGAGGGGACTAGACCCAGTATCTCATTATAACCTCTGGGGTCGGCCTTCACCCAGGCTGGCTCAGCCCTCTGCTTCCAGCCACCTCACCCATCCAGAGAGAACCAAGCCCTATCTGTAACCCTGACTGGTGAAGCCACCAGTCTCCTTGACATGACTTTCCACTATCCCCCTCCCCCCACCACTGCCATTCCAGAAAGCAGTTTTGTGACAGTCTTTTGTTCCTCTTTGCCCCTCTGCTAAGCTTTCCCAAGAAGTATTCGTTTCTGGATCAGGATACAGGACAGAGCCTGATGCCACTCTTCCTGTGTGTGCGCCTGCACGGCATCATCAAAGGTAAGCCCCGCCTGTCCTGGTGAGTGCCTCCTGGGAGGGCTGGTGGGACCCACTCCACCCCTTAGCAGCGACTCTCTGGAGAGGCTCAGCAGGTGCTTTTATTTATTTTTTTAAAAATTAAAAAGATATTTAAACATTTATTTACTCATGAGAGACACAGAGAGAGAGAGAGAGAGGCAGAGACACAGGCAGAGGGAGAAGCAGGCCCCATGCAGGGAGCCCGATGCGCGACTACATCCCAAGACCCCAGGATCATGCCTCAAGCCAAGAGCAGATGCTCAACCTCTGAGCCACCCAGGCTACCCCTCAGCAGGTGCTTTTAAAGGAATAGGCTAAGCTGTGGCATTGTCACTTCCAAGTTGTTTGACTTCGAGAAAGTCATGTAACTGCCTGGCCTCAGGGTCCTGGTCTGTAAAGTGAGGGATAGTCGGAGCTTCCGTGGAATATGATATTGAATGTAGGGCAATGTGGATTGTGAAAGTGTATGCAGCTGCCCAGGGCTGTGTTGGTGTCATCTAGCCACGAGCCCTACCTCTTTGAGCAGCGTCCCCTCCAAGTCACTTGCTCAGTAGCTGGGGAGAAGGCTACAGACCTGGCTTTCTCAGCCTCACGCACTGGGCCTAGCAGAGGCCTCTGTGACTTGGAAAGATGAAGCTACTGGCTAGTGCGTGTGAGGCTGCCCAGGTGGCCCCCCAGGGAGACCTTTATAAATGAAAGGACATTTAGAAAATTTTTCAAAGCCATTTCCACTTATCCAGATATAATGCGTAACTCTAAAACCCAGGGATAGTTGATGGACCCCAGGTAGTTTTGTCCAGGTTGGTTCTTGACACCCTAAAGACACCAAAGATCAGACTCCAACCTCCCCTTCTCAGGCAAGATTTCGGCCAGGGGACTCTAAACACTTTGGGGAGAAGTGCTCGGTGCTGTCCCATTTGGGCTCCATGCACCTTATGATCCCCGGGGCCCTGGGCAGGCCCTCCAAGCCTCAGCCCTCAACTTCCTCCTTTCTCTTTCTGTAAATTAGACTTCTGCGGGTCTGTGATGAATACATCTATAAAAATGTTCTCTTTGTGTTTCTTCCAAGGCAAAAATCTGGAGGAGTTAAGGCACATTAATTTCTTCCCGGAGTCCTGGTTGATCCGGGTTACAGCCAACCATTACCACGCAGTGAGTTGCCAGCTCAGCAAGGAAACAATTATTGAAATTTATTGCTCTTCTGACTTGGCTTTTTCTGGAGATGTGTTTTGCATTTGAAACCTCTGGGCCCTTGAGGTCCGGTGTTTCTGGCTCCTCCTCCAGGGCCGTGGGGAAAGCCAAGCCCAAGGGGCAGAGGGAGGAGGCCCAGGCCAGGCACCCTGGCGGGGGGTGGGGGGTGCTGCACGCATGCACACTCTTAAGCCGAGCCAAGCGTGAGATGGGGTCTGGGAGGGGGCCGCCTGCACCGCCCGCCTGGCCAAGCCCCCATCAACACACGTGTAATATGCGCTTGTTATTGGAAATCTTTAAGGTGCAGAGCAATGGAGAGAAAGAAAAGACTAAGCCTCAGACCCATCCCCCGGGGACAACCACTGCTAAGATGTCATTGTGTTTTATTGGCTGCAAACTCTTCCACCAAGAACATCTGCTATAAACAGAGCTACTTTGCTTTTCCCTTAGTGTAGAAAATTTGCAGTGTTCCTGATTGTTTACTAGGATAAATGACTGTGATGAACATATTTGAACATGATAGTTTATTCTACTATTCTCGGAATTATTTTCTTAGGGGAGATTCTCAAGAATAGAAAACATTGGCCCAAAATAAAGGACCATTCGTTTTGTTCTTGATACATGTTAAAAATTGGGGACCAAATTACTCTTGGCCCAGTGATGAATGAGCTTGCTCCACTTTGTACATGCTCAGCAATGCAGGGCGTTTTTATTTCGGATCGCTTTTGTTAATTGAGAAGTGCACAATGAAATCCCATTTTCCAACATGCATTTCTTTTATTACTAGCAAATATGAATATTTTTTCCATGCTGCATTTCCCCCTTTGTGAATTGTCTGCTCGAACTGTTGTACTCCTTGTGTTTCTAATCGTGCATTTTTAGAGATGAAGTAGGGCAGTGTTTGAGTTCTAAAGATTTATGAGTCACTAGTTAAAATTCAATGCAGCCCAACAAATACCTATTGTAATGTGCAAACTACAGTGCCCCATGCCCCTGCACAGCAGAGAATGACTCCCTGGAACGGAGCCTCCCTGGGACGTAATTCAGAACTATGTTCTAACAGCTGGGTTGAGGCAGGAGATGATCCTTGGGGCTGGACACCTTAGGAAGTTCCCCTCCCCTCTTTCTGTTCTCCTGACCCCGCCCACCTCCTTGTTTTTGCCCCTTGCTGTCATTGGAGCCTGCCATGTGGGATCACGCTTGTGACTTCATGGCCATGATCATTCTCTGCATTGTGATCGGGCTATTTATATACATATTTTATTTCCCCCGTGAGACTGCTCAGGTATTTTTTCTTGTTCTCATCTTCGCATCCTCTCGAAGCACTGAGCACAGTACCTGGCACATCGTAGGCTTCCACAAATACTGCAGATTGGATTAATGGACTAGTATGGGATCTAGAGACAGAACTCTTCTTCAAGCACGGTGGGGGTGGGATCAATGAACAGACATAGAGACAGTGAGAGATGCTGGTGTCCAGGTGAGCTGTGTGCACTTCTCTTTCAGCTGGAGAGTGGGGGTGACATGGTTCACGTGAAAGATCTTACCACCCAGGCTATGAGATTTGGACTGCTCTTTAACCAGGTACAGACCCCTGGGCCCAAACAAGGGGAAGGACCCTCCCCTCCTATACAAAAGTCCTCAACCAAGTATAATTGCTTCTTACGTGTCTTAGGAAGGCCAGGGCAGAAAAGGAAATCGTCATGTTTCCTTCATGTTCACCACACCCTAGGAAATAAAATTCACAAGATGGGAGCCTGGGACAGGTCATTCATTGACATGATGTGCACATCCAAAATTTCTCCTTGAGGGGGACCAACTGTCCTAGTTTTCCAGGGATGGAGGAGTTTCCCTGGGATGCAGGACTTTCTGTTCTAAAACCAGGAAATGTTTGGGCTAACTGGGATGAATTGGTCATTCTCTTCCCCACAAACATCAAGACTTGCCAACCGCTCGATGAGAGATTTCACTCTAAGCCTGTGTTTACAGCTACAAGGGGGAACCTATTCTGGGTGGATATTTTGATGGGGTCCCCCAAATCAAAGCAGCAGTGGATTGGTCAGGGAGCTTGGCTGCAAGGCATCTGGGTGGTGCTCAGTCACCAGGGGAGTATGCAGGGCTGATGGCAGTGTTGTCTTCGGTTCCCTGTGATAGGCACAGTTCTCCAAGAAATAGCTGCTCTCTAGCTTTTTAAAAGCCACTCCAGTAGTGATCTCAAAAGAATTTGTGTTTGAGAGACTTGGAGCTCTGAATCTATCATCAGAGACTCCCCGCTGGGTCAGGCCTGGATAGGATGGGCCTACCACCTTGCTTGCAGAGACTTGCCTAAGTGGATACGCTGCCAACTACAGGGGTCAGGACTCCTTGCAATACCATGAGTAAGGAGTGTCTTTTTAGGCCCATGGAATTGGAACAAATGCTTTGTTTCAAAGGTCTGCAGGCCACTGAATGTCTAAGAACATGCCCAACTCATTCTTCTCCCCATTAAGAGGATGCACAGAGCAGTTAATATGTCACTGAGTGCTAACCTATGGGATTTGTAAAGTCCCTGCAGTTTGGCTCTTCCTAGGCTAAAACTGGTATTGAGTTTTCAATCAGCTGTCAATTAGTCACTTTTGTTTTAGCTAGAATTTGTTTTGCCATGTCCTCTTGCCTTTGAACACTGAAGATTCTTTTCTCCTGTCGCTTTGTTGTTTATCCTTCCCAATTTAGGAGTATACAACTCATTCAGAAATGATTGCCGTATATGGATTCTTCTTTGAGATAAAGGGGATCAAACAGGATACTACCTCTTATAGTTTTTACATGCAGGTAAGGACAGAGCCGAGGGAAGGTGTGTCTCTGAAACAGTCTTTTTGATACAGAGTCAGTTCATACTAAATCAATAATAACTGATTAATCATTCGTTAATAATGGACATGAAACATGTTCTAAGCTGGTGCTAATCATGCTCATACAAAGTGATGTCATTTGATTCTTACAACCTTGGGAGGTTACTGTTGTTAGCCTGTTTAACAGATCTCCAAGGTGAATGTCTTCATATTCGTATGGCCCCGATTAACAAAGCTGGGGTTAAATTCTAGACTCTGACTCCACATTTGGAGGTCAGTTCATCTTCAGTTCCTTTATGATGGGTGATGCTTTACAGATGGCCACTCTTCAATGGAGGCAACCCATAGTGCCCACAAGGGAAGAGGGAATGGTCTTGTTTAGAGAGGCAAAGCAGGGTGGTGGACCAGACACTGGTGAAGTCAGAAGGGCAGATGGCTTCACCTCGGTGCTTCTGCTAGACTTTTGGAAGAGCATTGTGTTTAAGAGCAGAGTGTTGAAGTCAAGCTGCCTGGTGAGCTGTTGCCAAGCTACTTGGCAAGCCCGTGAACCTCCCTATGTCCAGCTTCCTGAGCTTTAAGATGGAGAAGCTAATAGGACCTACCTCACTTGGTTGTGGGCAGTATTATTGTGTTAATTTGTGCAAAGGGCATGGGATGGAGCCTGACACATAGAGCACTATATGATGATGATGACATTGACCATGACAACGATGATCAGGGACCACTGTGTTCCACTTAGCATTTGCTTTATAAGTTTCTAAGACATCAAGCTCCTTGAGAAACTATATCTCGTTCATCTTTTTCTTATCACCACTAATCATAGTACCCAGGATGCCGGGCAGGTATGTTTGCCTCATGAGTGGATACGTGGATAAATGCGTGAGTGAAGAAAACTGAGTTTTAACCTCAGCTTTGCCACTACCTCATTACAACCCTTGAGTGAGTCACATCTCTTCCTTGGGTCAGTTCTTGGTCTTCAATGACTTCAATGCACTTCCCTTCATACTAGATTTTGCTGGATGGAAGACATGAATTCTGTAACAACACCCGTTGAAATGCTCACTCAAATCCTATGTTGGTTTTTAAACTCTGGCCAAGCAATAGTGGAGACCTTCTAATTCAATACAGCTTGACTTAGTGGCATTTTTCTGGGTTCACCAAACCACAGTCTGTGAGCCAATGGTTTTGCATAGTGAGGGCTCAAATGCTAGCTGACTCAGCAGCAGCAGCTCTCAGGAAATGGGGCCCTATGGGAATACCCTCTTGCTCTCCACGCCCGTTATACAGGAGAGTCAATGAACCAGGCTTTGCTAACTCTGGGTCACCCCGGTTTCAGTTCCACCTAAGGTAGGTCACCCTCCTTACAGAGAGTAAGGCACACTGATTTGGAGTTCCCGTCCTCGGTCTGTAAGCATGGCCCGGTTAGCCTGAGAGTGGAGCGCTTGGTGAAGTACGAGATCAGAGCCCAGACCCTGGTGGACGGCAAGTGGCAGGAGTTCAGGACCAATCAGATCACCCAGAAGTTCGGGTTTGTCAAGCCATCCTGTAAAAGCCACGTGAGTGTCTTTGACTTGTTTATGTCCTTTTTGTTCTTTCCGTCCTCCCTCCCTCCACATCTTTTTTTGGGGGATCCCTGGCTTTACATCTCCAGTGATCTCCAGGGGAAGCTTGTTCACTTTCCAAAAGATAATCACAGATCCACACCACGCTAAAGAGACCTAGAATGGAAAGCTGAGGATGTTGAAAACTGTCATGATAACGCCAGGTCCATTTTCTAAATATCAAAGGGTACTTGTTTGGAGGAGGAGAAATTTGGTGGAGTGTATTTGCCACCGCCCCCTCCACTGTTGCAGGCACATCGCCTGTGATATGCCCTGAGATCCGAGGCCTGGCCCACCTGCCTCAGTGGCCGTGTCAGCATCTGGGTGGATTCTCTCTCTACCTGTCCTGGCTGCTGAGAGATGAAATCCAAAGATTACTAGAGAGCCTAGAAGGAACTCTGGGCTGTGAACTCCAGGATGTCTGGGATCTCCCTTGCTGCCCTGTAGGGAATAGGACTCAGCTTTAAGCCAGGGAGTTGTTTCTAGTCCTGGCTGCACATCAGAACACTTGGCCTTTTGCAAGCTCTGCTGGCCTGAGCACCACCCAGCTCCTGAGACCAGATATTCCACGGTGGGGCTCAGGTCTTGGTGCTGTTTAAAGCTTCCCAAGCTGTTCTCTGTGATGTCAGAAATCAGAATAGCAATGTCCCTTGTGGAGGTGGGAGCAGGAAGCCCAGGATATTGGCTGGGAGAGAATATGATGAGGATTTCTGAGGTGCCTGAAATGTTCTTTACTGTGGTCACTCAGGAGAACCCACTCGTGGAAATGCCCCAAGCTGGACCCTTAAGATGTGTGTACTTATTGTATTTACACTATATTTTAATTTTTTAAAGTTTGTTTTAAAGACTTGCCCGAGGTGGTTCAAATGTGCAGCCAGAGTTGGGAATGACCGCCTTACACAACTGTGCAAGCCTCCCACTCCCCTCCTCAAGAGGGCAATTGTGTCTATTCTAAAAGGCCCCTTTGCTTTGTTTTGTTTCATCTTTTAGGCCTTGAAAATCCAAACTGTGGGCATCCCAATCTATGTAAGTTTTTCATTCATCTTCCCAATATCTCGATAGTTTCCAGAAGAATCTATGGGACTTTTCTTTCTTCCACCAGTGTTCATAAAAGAAAATAAAATGACATTGAAGGGATTGCTCAAGCATTCAGTGGACTTTCCTAGTTGGCTGTGGTCTTAATAGAACTTTTGCCCGCTGTCTTAGTCAGGCTGCTGCCACAGAGGACTTCACACTGGCAGCCTACAAACAATAGATGTTTATCACTCACAGTTTGGGAGGCTGGGCATCCAAGATCAAGATGCTGGAGTATTCAGGGTAGGGCCTGGTGAGGACTCGCTTCCTGGTTCATAGACAGCTGTCTTCTCGCTGGGTCCTCACATGGCAGAAGGGGCGAGGGGGTTCTCTGAGGCCACTACATGAGGGTTAGAGTGGTGTCCTTGTGACCTGATCACCTCCCAAAGGCCCCACTGTGTAATGCCATCACCTTTGGGGGTTAAGATCCAACACAAGAGTTCTGGGGAGACACTCAAACCAGAGCACCATATTTGTATCACTTGTGGGTAGAAAATACCAGACCTAAGTCCATTCACCATCCTTGACCTCAGAGTCAAGCCAGAGTCAAGCCTCATGTCCAAGCCAACCCTAACTGGTTGCCTGTGCAGGAGCTCTGTGATGGAAGCATAAGCAGTGACAACATACTCAAACTGGGAGCAATGAGTGCTCCCCTTTTCATGATGCATCTCTACCTGCCATACAGGACACACCTGACAACTGTCCCTGCCGTTTTGGTGCAGCTAGAACAAGAGGCAGGAAGGGAGGGGAGCAATTATAAGGTACAGAGTGACTTATTTACCATCCACCTTTTTAAATTGAGCTCAGTGGTTTACAGAAAGTGAGATAGAGAGCCTTTCTTCCTTCTTTGTGGATTTTCTATCGCAGTGTAACAAAGTACCACAAATTCAGTCACTTAAAACAACACACACTTATTATTTCACAATTGTTGTGGGTCAGGAGTCCAGGCAGCTTTGCTGGGTCCCCTGTATCACAAGTCTGCAGTCCAGTGGCAGCAGGGCTATGTTCTCATCTGAAGGCATGACTGGGGAGGACTCATAGCCAAGCTCATGGGCTTGGCAGATTCATGTTCTTATAGCTGCAGAACTGAGGGCCTGGCTGCTTACTGGCTGGTGGGAAAAGGCTGTCCAGGCCCCAGCAGCCTCCTGCAGTGCCCTGCCAGGTATCTCTCTATATAGACATTTCAACACATGGCTATTTATCCTTCAAGGACAGCAGGAGTGTCTCTCTCATGCTAGTCTGCTAACACAGAGTCTTAGGTAAGGTAGTCTTGGAAGTGACATCCCATCACTTTAGCTATATTCTCTGGACTAGAAGAGAGTCACATGTTCCAATCACTGAAGGGGTCATGTCAAGGTGTGTCCACCGCAGTGTGTTTTCCAGTGTCACTGGAAAAGTGATGGAATATCTTTGATGCTGTGCAGACAACAAGGTGGGTAAATATAGTCTAATGATCACCTTAGAGTCAGACACGGGCTGAGGGAATGTCCTCTGCAGGGTGACCTAAGAGGGAGACAGGCTGGTGGGAAGATGGGAAGGCAGCCCAGTGGAAGATTTGGAGGAGAGGAACCAGTGCATTCGTTCCCGGGTGCATCCTCACTTGCCTTCTGCATGCCCTGTCAGCTTGCTTCTGGCCAGGTCGAGCCCATGGGGAGTGGTGGTGGTGGCTCGAAGCACAAGAGACTGGGAGAAGCCAGACATTTTCAGCAATGGCTGTCTCTCCTTCATGGCTTCTGCCTGGCAGCCTCCTGCCATGGCCCCAGTGCCACCCGATGGCCCTGCTTCTGGGTCTGTGTCCCTTCAGCCTGAGGGGCAGTGCAGGCTTCCTTCTGCTGCTGGTCTCAGTTATCCCATTCTCCTGTTTGCCTTCTTAGTTCTTCCTTCACTTACAGAGAACTTCATAATCAGTTCTCTGTATCATATTTAGACTGTTTGAAATCCCTGGAGTACTTGTCTGCTTTCGAGTCAAGTCCCTGATATAAAGGGTTGTGATAGGTTGGTCAGTGTGGCCCTGACTGGAGTGGATTGGAGTGGAGTGGATTGTTGGAATGCACCACCTCAATAATTCCTCCCATCCCTGCAGGGCTGGGGCAAGGGGGAGGCAAGTGAGGTACTTACCTTGCATCAAAATACTCAGTAATTTAGAGAAATAATATTTCAATAAATTTTAAAAAACCACTAAAAGTCTATGATGCAGGTTGATGGATTACCATAAGGTGAACATGCACATATAACCAGCCAGTACCCAGATCGAAAACAGAAAGAGCATGGTCCACACCCCAGACATGCCCCTCCTGGTCACTACCCTCCCAGTCACCACCCCTTGAAATTAAAACTAACCCAACTGTCACCATTAATCAGTTTGGTCATTCCATACCATACAGCATGCATTCCTCTGTGCCTACATTCTTATGTTCAACATCTAGTCTAAGAGATTAATTTATGTTTCCATAGGGAGCTATGGTTTCTTTCCAAAGAAGCATAAGAGTTTCATCTTTCATTTTTTAAAACATGAAGTGTTACTTCTAATAATATAGGCTTGTCAAAGGAAAAAATAAGAAAACTCAAAGAAGAAAATTAGATCCACCAGGATTCCCATCACTCAGAAGTCTGGCAGGCAACCTCTTGGAATTATTTTTAGGGCCACTTAGAGTTTTCTTGCCATTCAAAATGGGATTATGCAGCCCATCTTCCTTAGAATTTGATTTTTTTTCCCCTCAAGAATTAAACAGAATGGTTTCTTTGACAGAGGAGCACAGTATCTGTATCTGGGGAAGAAGACACTGCTGTTATTGCCTCACCTCCGGACTAATTGTGCTAAGTCAGAAAAGTCACTTGTCGCTTACCCCCAGGGAACAATGCTTGTCTATAAAAAGGGCACAAACCAGCGCCCACAGGTCCCTCTCCGGATGGTGACCTGCACCACTGCTGCATGGGACAGTCCCTCTACGGGCCAGTCCCCATACAGCCCCGCGGAGGCATGATGTTACTGGCTCTGGAGAAAGAGCAGCCTCGTGACATTTTTCCACAGTCCTATGGGATAACAGAGAAGATAAGAAAGAGAAATCTCTGAAAAGCAAGTCTGCAGTTGTCCAAGAGAGAAGAAGCTGTTGGGAAGCGCTGAGATGGGCATGACCTGCCGCCTTCTAAGCGACACTTGCAGCTTAGCCCTGCGGAGTATGCAAACTCGTGATCCGGGAGCTGGCAGGAGGGGAAGACGTTTGCAACACAGCAATGCCAAAAATGCCTCCCTGAGGTGAACAGTAAAGCTTTGAGGGTTCCAAAAGGTAGGGAGGTAGGAGGAAGGCAACCCCCAAAAGGATGGGGTAAGGGTCTGAAGGGTAGGGCTGCATCTGCCTCTGGAACCAGCAACAGGAAGGCAAGAGGAAGGAGCCCTGCGGTGTTAGTGGGAGGGGCCCTTTGACATCATTTCTACCTGTTCATTGTGCGGTGGGGGAAACTGAGGCCCAGCGACCTGGAGCGACAGTTCTGGTTGGAAGACATTGAGCGCCTCTGATCCATTAGGCACCTGACACCCACTTTCTCAATGAATTCTCATAGCCCTTCATGAATTCGGTGTGTTTTCCACATCTGGTAGGAGGGGACCTCAGCCCCAGAGAGTAAGGCATTTACAGGTCCCAGCCTCCTCAGAGTGGCAGGGCTGGGGCCCACTCAGGTCTGGCCGCCTGGCCCATGTGTTCCCATCTCCCTCCATGACCCACTGGAAGGAGGTGAAAAGTTCTAGCGTGCTTAATTCAAGAGTTTGTTGAACACCTCAATAGAACTGTGCCCTGCACCCACCCGCCCAGGGCATGCCGGGCCATGCCACGTAGGGTGCTGTCACATGGGAAATGTCATGTGATTCTGACCAGGCTGTTGGGACAGGGTGAGGGTGGTCTCGCTGGGAGGGTAGCACATAAATGGGCCTTGGAGGATGGGCAGTGTCCTTGCAGGGGGAGACCGGGTGGGAAGCAGCACCCTGGTGGGGCTCAAACAGCTGGGAGCAGGCTGGTCTCCAGGTCCTGGGCTACTGGACTGAAGCCTCACCCAGGTTCCCTGGGAACTGGTGCAACAGCAGGTGCCCGGGCCCCAGCTGGGAGAGGCTGTCGTTGCTGTCTAGGTCCCCCCAGGGACCTGCACTTTAACAGGCTTCCTGGAAGGATGCAAGAGGTCGGCCACTGCACCCAGAGACTCCACCCCGGAGATGTCCATCCCACTGCAGGGTTCCCCTCTGTGCCACGCACAGCTGACTGCCTGCCTTACCCGGCGGAGAGAACCCGACACCCCCAACAAACCTGGGGGTCTATTTCACCACACGGGCTGATCTTATTTGTACAGCCACACATTTCCTGCTACGAAAGACACAGTCTTGGGACGCCTGGATGGCTCAGCGGTTGAGCATCTGCCTTTGGCTCAAGGTGTGATCCTGGAGTCCTGGGATCGAGTCCCACATCAGGCTCCCTGCATGGAGCCTGCTTCTCCCTCTGCCTATGTCTCTGCCTCTCTCTCTGTGTCTCTCATGAAAAATAAACTTTAAAAATCTTTAAAAAAAAAAAGAAGAAAGGAGAGAGAAAGAAAGAAAGAAAGAAGAAAGAAGGAAGGAAGGAAGGAAGGAAGGAAGGAAGGAAGAAAGAAAGAAAGAAAGAAAGAAAGAAAGAAAGAAAGAAAGAAAGAAAGAAAGAAAGAAAGAAAGAAAGAAAGAAAGAAAGAAAGAAAGAAAGAAAGAAAGAAAGAAAGAAAGAAGAAATAAAAAAGGAGAAAGAAGAAAGAAAGTCTTACGGAGGCGACCCAGCAGGGGCGAGCCGTTGTTGTGATGCAGAGCCCACCCCTTGCCGCTAGGGGGCGAGGTCGGCCCCAAAAATGGGAACCGGGCTTTCCCCGCAGAAACCAAAAACTATCTTTCTGAGTCTTGCTTGCTTGGTAGTTGAAAGTGAACTTTTGACCATCCTGGGTGAGGTGCTGCTGGTCCTTTGAACATCTACAGCCGT